GATACAAAGAAAAATTTTTGTACGCTTTGTAATATGCAATTTTCTTCTCCAAGAGGATTGAGTATACATAATGGGAAAAACAAAAGGCACAAAGATTTGTGTAAGGAAAATTTTTTTGGTAATACTTTGCAAGTCGCCCACCCTTTTTTCTACATTTTCATGGTTATTATTTGAAAAAAAGCTCTTCGAGCTGAGTCGAAGACACAATCATCGATTAGATTTGATCATCTTGAAAACAAAATAATGAAGCTTGCCTTTGTAAGGCATTTTGAATTTTTTTTATTCGACTCACCTCGAACTATAAAATTTGCTATAAAATGAAAAACAAATGGAAACAAAAAAATGAAAAAAGGAGGGGAGGGGGGCGACTAAGTATTACCAATTTTTATGTAAGATTTTTTGTAATTTTTTTTTTGATTTTTTTAGTATTAACAACAAGTCGAATGGCCAATTTAATGGTTAGTGATGCTAGTAATAACACTCCCAACAATAACACCACCAACAACAACAATATTAATAATACTTCAAATTTATTTTTATGTGATTCCCCGGGGTGCAAGTCTATTTTTGAATCACCAGATAAACTTAAAATACATCAAAGAAAACAACACACACAAAGAAACTTTATGTGTAATTTCTGTCGTAAAGCTTACATTAATGAGGGTTGGCTGAAGAAACATAAGAAGGAAAAGGGACATTGAAAAAAATTGTTTAATTTATTTGATCAACACTTTTTGGTTTTGAAAAAAATTCCTGATTCTTTCAATTATTTTTTATTTTTAATAATTTGTTGAAAAATTCTCCCAATCCTCTCTTTATTTTAACTAGGGTTGCCGGTTCTGTTCGGTTCAAAAGATAGAATCGGGATTTATTTTTGACCCGAAATAAGACTCGGATGTCCCGATTTAATAAAAATGAGGTCCGAAACAAATAACTTGGACCCTAAGACTTGGAACCCTAATTTTAACATTTTTGCTCAATATTTTAATTTATTTATAAGAATATCATATTGATAAATATTTAAATTCAATGTTTTGGATTTTTTGAATGTTTTTGGAATATTTCTCCTTGATGTTAAATTTCTAGAGTTTTTCTTTGTCTCTTGTGTGTTTCTTAATCTAAACAATTTTTTAAATTTTGATTCTTCCCAACCAAACAACAACCCAATTCTTCCTTTAAACTCAACCTCCAATATGATACCAATTGAATTAATTTTTGATATTTTTAAAACAACGATTACAACAATTCCTTTTAATTTTCTATGTGAAAATAAAATGTTAAGAAGTAATGAAGATATTACAATAGTAAAAATACAGCAACAAAGATGGACAAATAATTTTATAAAAAATATTCTAACTTCGTCTTTCGTTGTTTACACACTTGTTTGGGAAGCTTTTTCAAAGAGAAAAGTTTGTTTTCCATTAAATTAAAAAAAGTTAAAAAAAAGAAAAATGTTCTAATATTTGTTCAAGCAGGGGTGGTCGCATTGCGTTTTGCGTAAATTTGGCCCAAATTAAGGCAAAAAACGCAAAAAAGATATACTCAATCTGAGGAAAAAATTGAAAAAATCTGGCGTCTTGGCCTTCCAAAATTCTCAAAATTTTCGCCTGCCTCGCAGGAAAAGAAAGACCACTAACAATTTTTCAGTTAATGTCGTCACAACTTGCCTTAATTCCTCACATATTGGAAATTAATGGACAAACATATTTTCCTTCCCATACCTTCTGGAATTTAACGAACGCTGTCAACGACGCAATGCCCCAGAATTTGGTTAACCAAGAGGGAAACCTGCTTAATACTATGAAAAATGTTGTCTTCACCACACTCTTGGAAGAAATGTAAATTTAAATTTTAAACTTAAATTTCTATTTTAACATTATATTACAGTATTCTCTGTATAAAAGCCATCGCTCCCCTCTTTAATAAAACTTAATAAATACCCTTTTGAAGTATGGTTGAAAAAGTACAGAAAATACTGTATTGTTCTAGATTTTATCATTTTTACGGAATTAAAGTTTTTATTAGAAATGCGTTCATAATTAAAATTATTTTAAATTAAACCAATTAAATTTGCTTTATTTTCTACAGAAATCCGAATACGAATCTTCCCATTTTTACGGTGTTTGGCAGTGAATCAAAAATTGTTGATAAAAATTATAATTTTGATTCGCTTTTTATCGAAATATCTGATCCACGTCGTTTTCCTGGGAATGTCTTTCATATCACCAAGCATTACAATTTGCGGACTAATATATTTGCCAATGTAGCGGATTTACTTGAACGAGGCCTTAAAAATGTTGCAGTAGCTGGTGATGTATATTCCCGCGGTGTTCGAAATATGGTAAGTTAATTTTTAAAAATAGTCAAATCAAAGTCAAAATTTTGTATTCTTAATTTAAGGGTGATGTCCCCTGCTTACATCAAATCGGGGGTAATTTTAAATGAAATTTTATAACTTCAGAATAAATTTAAAAATTTTTACAATAGATTTTTAATAAAATATTTTTATTAAAAATTAAATAAATTCGAAAATTTCATTAAAATTGACTCAATTTGGAGTCAATTATAAAAAATTAAATTTATATTTTTTAAACCTAACTAAGTTAATATATTTAGTCGTAAGAAGCTACACAGCACAGGAATTATACAAAGGTCGTCGAAATGAACCTTTATTTAATGAAGTTGAATCTGGTGCTGGTGGATCTGTCATGGGAGGCAGCAACAGACAACACATTCATACGCATAATACTTGGGTTGCATTGTGTCAACGTGGTAAAGCTGGTATGAATAAGGTAACTTTAAGTTGTTGATGTACTCACTTAAATTATGATATGGCGTGTCATAAATAAAGTTGTGGCAAAAAATGTTTTGTTTTTCGAACCGTTTAACATATGAAACGTCATACAATTCGAATAACACCTGGGGTAATGTTAATTAAGGTGCTTCGTAAACTTTTGGTCGATAAACAATATGTATTAAACGATACAAACATTCCTTTTTTTAATCCTGCATATGTCATAAATACTACGCACGATGGAATGCAAGTTCCGGTATGTATAGGAAAAAAGTTTTTTTAATTTAATAAAATTTTGGATTGGTGAATGTGGGATCCTCGATCAGAGAATAGTCAACCATGCGTTTGATGGTGAACAAGTGACATGGGGCTATTGGCTTTGTGAGTTTTTTGAATAAATAAAATTTTAGATAAAACAAAAATTTAGATATGGAGAATATTCTGATCGTCTCCAAAAAAATTTCCAATTTACAGCAGTTTTGGAATTGAAGAAGTTTGATCAAAAAAATCAAGATTACGAGCAAAAATGATTAATCAATAAGATTAGTTTTAATTTAATTGATAAATGTTTTCGACTTATTTTTAAAATAAATGCAAATAGTAAGAGTCTAGAGAATAAAATCAGAAATAAAATGCAGAATTTAAACCAAAAATGCTCGTAAAATACTTATACATCATGTTTTACTGGTCAATGAAAATGTCATTGATTATAGCTCTAATTAATAGAAAATAATACATTTATTTATTTTGTGGCCCCTTTTGTTTTCCAGGCCCAAAAAATTCAAGACAGCAAGAATTTTTCACAGACCTAAAAATTGTCCTAAAATACTATGGAAGTTTAGAAATAATACTACTCTGAAATTTTCCTAAAGATATTATGATCTTTTCCAGTCCACAATTTTTCTGAAAAAACCACAAAAAATTTATTTTTAAAATTTTATATAAAATATATTTTTAAATTTATATAAATAATTTAAATATTAAACATTTAATAGTTTAAATTTTTTATGATTTAATTTAAAAAACTCAATGAATAGGATATATGAAGTATAAAAATTCGAAATTTTACATAAAGAATTCAACAAAGTAAAAAAAAATTAATTTTTTCGTTGAGCTCTGATTAAAATGAGAAAACACAGAAAATATATCTTGAGATTTGAAAGATGAGAGAAAAAAGGACTTTTTTAAATTTAATTTTTTGAGAAAATTTTTTTGTTAAAAATAAACAAAATCCCACCCTAAAATTTGGAAAAAAATCACCCATAAAAGATCTGACAGAATCCAAAGATTAAAATCAAAAATAATAAATGAGAATAGGATATAATAATAAAGAAAAATACACGTAAATTATATCACGTTGTACTGGTCTACACACATAATTTAATCTAAAAACAGTCGAACCTCACCTTAAGATACCACCAGAACAGATAAACAGTTAAGATAAATTTTATAAAATTTTGACAGCCATTATGAAGGCAAGCCGGACTAGCGATGCTCTCTACCTTATAGAATCTATACTCAGTTTAAGGTGTTTTTTACTTTTGATGGTCATTATAATGATGGGCACCTGGATACAATTTTTCAGCCCCAAGAGTAACCAAAAGTGAGGTTCGAAATAGAAATAATTATAAAACAATTTATTTTTACATACAAAAATTTTCATCAATAGATTCTTACAAATTTACCGGTGTCTAATGTTGTTTAAACAATTAATTATTGAATAAATTATTTTTAACAAAATTAATGTAACAATTTGAACTATAACAACAAGGATGATTACTTCGTTTGTCTGAAAAAAGAGGAAAATTTTTTTTATAATTCTGAAAATTATTCAAATTGAGTTCTGGAATTTATTCTATTTTCTAAAAATATTCTGAAATTTTTTTCCTGATATTCTGAGACTAAATTCTGATTTTTTAAAATATTCTGAAATCCATTTTTATTTCCAAAAATAATCTGAAATCAGTTCATATTTTAAAAAAATATTCTAAAATTTCTTCTGACTTTTAAAGAATTTTGATCTTTAAAAATTTTCAGAATTTTTAAAATTTACCGTCCACAGCCCTTCATGCCTCATATTAACATCCTCATCCCTTCCATAACCAATAGCATTACGTAATTGAGAATAATATGTTGAAGGAGAAATATAAGAACTTCTTCTAAAATCACTCATACAGGCTAAAATTAAATTTTTATTTTTTTTTAATTAGAAAAAAAAATTTTTACTTTTCCCATTGCATTGATTTTGTTGTTTTTCATTGTTCATATAACGTTGATATTGTGATAAAGGGGGAGGTGGATAAAACCCATTTCCATCGGGTCTAATTGTAGTAGGCTGAATTGAGGTAGCGACAGCTTGAAGTTGCTGGGAAAGACGACGCAATTCTTTTTGAAGTTCATTAATCTTTAAATTTGAAAGTTTTATTTATTCTGATATTTTCTAAAATTAATTCTGGGTTTATGAAAATAATTCTGATTTTCTGAAAATTAATTCTGATTTTTCTGATGCTAATTCTGACTTTTCTAAAATTAATTCTGGTTTTCTGACACTAATTCTGGTTTTCTCTGACACTAATTCTGGTTTTTTCTGAAATTAATTCTAATGTTTCTGATATTAATTCTGATTTTTTGAAATTAATTCTGATTTTTTCTAGAATAAATTCTGATTTTTCTGATACAATTCTGACTTGTTCTGAAATTAATTCAGATTTTTCTGAAAATTATGAGATAAATTCTGATTTTTTCTGAAATTAAATGAATTTCTAACCCTACTCCTGATCTTCATATTCACAAAAATTATTTTAAAAAATCAGAATTTCATACCAACAAACACACCTTTTGTTCATGTTTAGCAACAGTTTCAGCTGTTGTTCTAGTTATTTTCTCTTGTCTTGCTACAACTTCTTCAGTTTTTGTCGCCTTTTTATTAAGTTCAGTTAAATGTTCAGTAGTTATAGAAAAATTTTGTTCTAAAAGTGATATTCGCTTGTTTAATTTCATAAATATTGATTCTTTGCTGTTTGTAGATGTTCCAGGCAATGGTCGACTAACTGTAAAAACAAAAATTTAAAAATGTTTGTTTGAATTAAAAACATTGTTTGAATGTTTTAGAATGTTTTTGGATGTTTTTGGGTGAATGTTTTTGCTTGAAACAATCAAAACATTATTATAACTAATGTTCGTTTCACATTATTAATATTTGTTTCAACATTAATAATAATGTTTTTGTTGATTAAAACACAAAAACATACAACAATCAACAAAACATTATTAATTAAACAACTGAAACAAACATTAAACAAGTAAAATGAACATTAATAACAACATGTTTTTGTTGATTAAAACATAAAAATATACAAAAACAAACAATAAAAACATTGTTTTTATTAATGTTCGTTTCACTAATTTAATGTTTTAATATTAAAACAACACAACAAAAACATTTTGTTTTTCTACCTTTCTCATCAACTAGAGTGGGCGTGACTTTTTGTTGCTGTTGTTGTTGCAATTTCATTCCAACATTCTCCACAACATTCTCCACAACATTAGAATTTAATTGTTGTTTGTTTTGTTGTTGTTTTTGCTGTCCAACATTGTTTGTTTCACTTTTTCTATTGCTACAAGTTAACGGCAAAGAAGGCAAAGGGCAAAAAGAGGATGTTTGTCGACGCAAAACTTTATCAAGAAAATAATTTTGAAATTTATTTGCCCCATTAAATTTTTTTGTTGAATCAAACAAATATTGTTGTTTATGTTTTATAATTCTATAAATATTTGGAAAAAATGCCCAACAAAATAAAGTTAAATAATTTAAGGTTGAAGCATGTTTTGTTGAAAAGCATTGTTGACAAGAAGTGAAGGTATACCTTTTATGAAAGAGAAAAAAAATTTTTCTTTTGAATTTTTTTAAAAATTTTATTTTAATTAGGGAATTTTAAAAATAAATTATTCGAAAAAATCCAAAATTAAAAAAAATTAAAAAAAAACAAAAAATTCGAAATAAAAATTTTTTAATTTAAGGGTGACATTTCATCCCACAAAATTTTTAATTTTTTTAAAAATCAAAAAAAGAATCCTAAAATGATTTATGAGGGATGATAATTGATCCGATAATTTTTAGAAAATCAAAAAAAAATTTTTTTAATCTAAAAAAATTTTTGGGATGACATTTGATCCCAATTTTTTAAAAATCAAAAAAACAAATTTTTTAATCAGAAATTTTAATTTTTAAGAGATCCTCCCATTTTTATCCTTCCAATTTTATTTAAAAAATTTTTTTTTCAAAAAAAAAATTTTTTTGAAAATTTCAAAAATTCTTTGAGGATGTCGTTGTTTGACGACATCTATGAGACACTTGACGACATCTATGAGACACTTGATCCCAATCTCAACAACAAACACTTGATCCCAATCTCTTTTTTAGAAAATTAAAAAAAAATTTTTTTTCCTTACCTCAAAACATTTTTCCTTCTATTAAACACATCCTTTTTATTCTTCTCCTCCTCATTTCCATTATTATTTTTAGAAAATGCTTGTCCAATTACATTTTTAATATTTGATCCCAATTGTTCTACAATTGTTTTTAACATATTTCCACCTCCGCCTGTTGCTTCTTCTTTTTCCAATTTTTCTTCCTTATTCGCTTCGTTTGTAACATTTTTTGTTGTAAAATTAATTCCATCTTCATCCTTTTTAAGGCCATTTTTGGGTATTATTTTTTGCTGATTCTCTTCTTGTATCTAAAAATGAAAAAGATTAGGGAGTGACATTTGATCCCAAAATCCAAATAAAATTAAAAAAATTTTTTTTTTAATAAAACAACGACATCTATGACACTTGGACATGACATTGCCCTATAAAATAGCCCCATAAGTTCCCCTCAAAAATTAAAAAAAAATTTCCAAGGAAAAAAATTATTAGGTGACATTTTATCCCAACCCTATTAAATTCTAATTTTCCAAGGAATAAAAAATTTTTTTAAATTATGGGACGCTTCATCCTAAACCCATCCATTTCCCTTAAAAATCCAAAAAAATCTTTTTTTGTATTTTAAAACCAAAAAATTATTAGGCGACATTTTATCCCAAACCACATTCCCCCCCCCAGAAAATCCAAAAAAAATTTTTTTTAATTATGAGGACGACGTTTCATCCGAAACCCATACATGTCACCAAAAAAATCTAAAAAAAATTTTCCTCGTATTTTCCAAGCAAAAAATCACTAGGTGACATTTTATCCCAAATCCTATTTTCCCCCAGAAAATTCAAAAAAAATTTTTTTTAGAATCTTTCCAAAGAATTAAGAAAATCTATTTTAATTTTGGGATTCATTTCCCTTAAAAAATCTTAAAAAAAATCTTTTTGGAATTTTCGAAGCAAAAAAAATTATAAGGTGACATTTTATCCCAAATCCTTATTTCCCCAGAAAATTCAAAAAAAATTTTTTTTTAAAAAACCTTGCTACATTCTTTAATTGTTTCATTAATTGTAGTAACATTTGTACTATTTATTTCCTCCTTTTTATTATTTAAATTTTCATCGATTTGTGAAGTAAATTGTTGTTGCTGTATTGTGCTACTACTAGCAACTTCAGCTTCATATTCTTCAATTATTGAAGTTCCATAAACTACAAATGTACTTAAAGTACAAAAATGTTCATTTCCATAATGTGTTAATAATTCTAACTAAAAAATTGAAAAAAAAATTTTTTGCGGATTTTTAAAATGTCCGCAAATATTTGCGGACACACCTTTTGTGAGTCAAATTTGCGGACTCAATTTATTTTTAAGGTTTTTAGAGCCAGAATGTCTTAAAATGGAGTTTCACAATATGGATAAAAATTTGAAAAAAAAAATTTTCGCGGATTTTTAAATTGTCCGCAAATATTTGCGGACATCTTTTGCGGACAAGCATTTTTGGACCCATTTTCTTTTTAAAAATTTTAAGACTAAAGTGTCTTACAAATAGAATTTATTACTAAAGAATGGATAGAATTAAACAAAAAAATTTAAAATTTTTTTAAATGTCCGCAAAAAATTTGCGGATTCACAAATGCGGAGACTTGAAAATATAAAATCGAGTCCACAAATGTAAATATTGACTTTTAAAATGCTAAAAAAATTTTTTTAAAGGAATGTGCCAAAACGATTAAAAAATAGGAGACAAGCATTTGAGTTTCCTTCCCGTAGTCTTTAACGTAGTTTCGTAGGAGGAATTTAGCCACCCCTCTCCTCCTCCTCAAATTAAAAAAATTTTTTTTTGACTGATTGTGAGACCTATTGGTGAGAGGCAAACTCTTTAAATGTGTATAAATCTCCAAAAATTTTCCAGTATATCTCTATTTGTCTTCGATTCTTTTAAAAACAAATAAGTCCGCAAAATGAGAATCCGCAAATATTTGCGGATTTTAAAAATGTCCGCAAATATGTAGGGAACTGGTTTAATTTTAAAAATTTTGTTTAAAAAAATTTTTAAATAAAACTAATTGGGCAAATGTACACAATTAATGAGGGATGACATTTGATCCCAACTCTATTGAATCTCACTTAAATTGGGTCCGCAAATAAAAATCCGCAAATATTTGCGGATTTTTTAAATTTTCAAAAAAAATTTTCAAAAATTTCCAAAAAATCACAAACCTTAACAAATCTAATATACAAAGAATTTTGTTGTTTAACATCAAAAGATTGTAATTTTCTAATATTTTGTGCCTCAAAATCCCCAATTAAAATCCATTCTTGTGTTGGATATCTTTCACTTCCCCATAAACGAAAATCTTTTGGATTTGAAGAGAATAATTCAAAATTGGCAATTTCAAAAGAATTGAGCTTTAAAATTAAAAAAATTTATTAACTGAAAAATTGGAAAAAATAAAAAATTTATGGGGATGACATTTCATCCCACAAATTTTTTTCCCAAGGAAAATTTTTTTCCTTTTTTCTCCACAGCCCAAATTCTAAAAACTTCCCCAGTTCATACTCTCCCGTTCATACTAAAAAGCCCAAGAAATAAATTTATAAATCGAATTGGACAGGCCCAGGAAAGGAAAACCCAAAAATCAAACTCTAACAGATGATCAGAAAAGAAAATTAAATGGAGGCTCCCCCAAAAATTAAAAATCATAAGGACGTCATGTCCATCCTAAATCTATATATCCTCTTCCCGAATACCAACAAAAATTTTTTGGATTTCCAAGTAAAAAAAGGAATAGGTGACATTTGATCCCACTCAAAAATGCCCTAAAATTCCCCTAAAATTCATCAGAAAAATTCAGAAAAATTTAAAAAACCTGTATAATCTCACACAATTCAATAATCAAAAATTTATTTTGTGCACGTTCACAAGGATTCCTCATATAATCATCCCTTTCAGGGTCGTTTAATATTGCCCCCTTATTTTCAGCTTCCTCGTTTGAATATAAAACTTTGGCTCCACATTCTTTAGAGGCATAATTTCGTTTTGAATGGGGATATTGTTGGGTGCTTTCTTCTTCTTGTTGGGCTGCTAAAATTGTTGGAGAGGTTGTGGGGGAAGTTGTGGGGGAGGAAGAAACTTCGGGTTGTGCAGAAGTTGACTCTATAGGCGATTCTAGGGATGCCTCTGAAGACGATTTTGTGGAGGATTCAGGAACTTCAGCTTGTTTTTGTGAAATTGTTGAATGACTGAAACATTTGAGAGAGGTTATGAAGCAGAAACGGGGAAGGATTGACATGAGAAAAAAATCGGATCTGGTTTAGAGTCGAGTTTTCAATTTTTTCTTATAGTCGGATTTCGAGTCAGGTCAGTATTTGTGTGACTAAAAGAAGAATCAGAAAAAAAGCCAAGTCGGGTTTCGGATTTCCTCCCAGCCATGGTATAAAATTATGCCTTCTAAAAATTTTGAAGAGGTATAAGCATGGCTTCAATGCTCTCGAGAATGGAATTAAATGTCCGTCTAACCCAGAAATCGAGCGGGTGTTTTCTACTGACCAAAAAAGATAGCAAGACAGAAAAGAGCCGATTGATTCCGAAATTGTGAACAGGCCCATAGCCAGAATTTTTTCGGGAAGGGGGAAGGCTCGTAACCCCCAAAACAATTTAAAAACCTTTTCTCTTCAGATTCCTGTTGCTGCTCAACTTCCTTCTCTTCAGTCTTCCCTTCCTCCAATTTATTGTCTAAAATAAATTTTAAAACAAAAATTCTTGGTACTTGTGTAGTTTACCCCCCATAAGCCTCATCCCTTTTCCTTCTCTTCCTTTTCTTTAGAAGATGACCGCTAGTCCGATTTTTATAGGAGGAAAGAGGGGGCAGAATTTGCGGTCATTTTCCAAGGAAGGGAGGGGCGGGGCTTATGGGGGGTAAACTACACAAATTCCGAATTCCTTAACAAAACTGAAAAATAAACCTCCTTTTATTTCACCAGCCTCATCCTTTTCCAAATTTATTTTAGCCTCTTTTTCCTCTAGATCCTCAACAAAAGAAAACATTCTGCCTCTACTCAACAATAACAAAATTAATAAAATAATTGGGGTTGAAATGAATATATTTTGGTGTCTATCATTGTTGTAGTTGAAATGGAATATTGGCGGCATTTTCTAAAAAAATTTTTAATACACGAAAAAATAAGCCGGACCTCAATTGTAAATACTAAGGGGGTTGGGAAATTCTGGTATTTAATTTGCGGACTAAAAATAAAAATGCGGACAAAAATTGCGGACTAAAGACATGTCCTCAGCTGTAGAGGTAGGGTAATATGCAAGTAAATAAAGGAACGTGACGGCTACTAGAATTGTAGAAAAGCCAAAAAAAAGCCAAATCCCTTGATGCCGTCGAAATGCCAAACTGAGAATGCGGATTTTAGAAAGTTGCGGACAAAAAATAAAAATTGCAGACAAAAGACGTGTCTCGACAACTGAGGAGGTAGGGTGATAGGCAAGTAAGTAGAGGAACGCGCCGGACTAGTAAAACTGTAGAAAAATCAAAGCCACTTGAACTCGTCGAAATTTTAAACTGAAAATGCGGATTTTAGAAAGTTGCGGACAAAAAAAATGTGGACAAAAAGTTGCGGACTATGGGAACATAAAAAGGAACCATGAGGGCGTCTATAAGCGAAAATTGTATATAATAGAGGCTCTAAAACAGCAAATAGAGGAACGTGCCGTGCTCACCAACCACATTCGTAACTTTCCAAAAGTCTGCATACCTTTTTGTCCGCAATTTTCAAAAGTCCGCAAATTTTTGTCCGCAAGTCCAGATTTTTTTTCAGAAGCTAAAACTCATAAAAACGCGAAAAGCCCTCGATTGAGGAGTTTTTTTCGTTTTCCCTTAAAAGTTTGATGGGAAAAATAAAAAAGATTTAATTAAAAGATAAAGCATCAACGAGCAAAATTGGTGCATACAAATATTAACACGTCATATGACGCGTCATGCATAATAAATATGAAAAATAAAAAGATTAAAATTATTGAAAGTAAAATTTTGAGAAAATCAAAGAATGAAAATTATAAACAAGGCTTTCGGTCTTTCTCCGTCCGCAAATTTTTAAAAAAATTAATAAAAATTTAAGAAAAATTTGCGGACAGAACTTGCGGACTTTCAATAGACTTGCGGACAAAAAAATTTTTGCGGACAGAAACCACTGTAGATCCAAATCAACTTGAAAATAATCATTGCTTCAACACGGTTAAATGAAAACAGTGAAAAAACTAGGAAAGAGCCATGGAAGCACTTTAAAAAAAATAAAGATAAAAAATCACAAGAGCTTTACGCGTGATTGACAAGAAGGGAAAAATCATAAGCTAAAAATATTTAAAAAATGAGGTTTAACTGACCATTTTAAATTGTTAAAAAATTTTTAAGATAAAAATATTTATTTTTAAAACACAAAAAATAAGTAAACCTTTCAAATAAAAAAATATTTTAATGATAAATAAAGAGAAAAATGTGTGTTTTTTTTTAAATTTATAAATTAAATCTAAATAGAGTTGTCTGAATTCTTCTACTCGTTAATTGAAAACTCGTCCGCATCAACCTAGGTATCAGTATCGCTGGGCTTAATATTGGCAAAATATGTATGATTGCAAAATTTTGATGAATCCTTTAAAAAGTGAGAAGGAAATAAAGTCTCCGACTTGAAAAGTAAAGCAAAAAACGACCGTTTTGAAGCGAGAGCTAATTTTATTGACAGTATCCAATAATTCTATAAATTGGTGGCACGACTATTGTACAGTGGACAATTGTACAGTATTCAGTGCTTTTTAAAAAGAAATCTAATGTTGCTCTAATAGCAAGAAATATGACCCAAATTATCGAAAACCATATGATCAACACTAAATTTTTTATTTTATTATAAAATTTTCTTGTTTGTTATCTGTTACCTTTAAACATTCATTTCCATTCGCAACAAAATAAAAAATGCACAAACTTTCTTTTTCAATGACAGCTTATAATTTACAAATGATAATTTTAAACGAAAAAATCAATAAAAAAGGATCTTTCCCTTTAATTAACAACTGATAGGCCTTTTTTAATTTTTAAGTCGTCACACCATAAAATTTTTAAATTATTAAAATTATTTTATTTATTATTAAAAAATTTTTTTGATATTTTTAGTTAGGTTGAAGTGCAAAAAGTTAAATTTATAGTAAACACATCAGCGCCGCAGGCAAAAACAAATTTACCCCTTCTTATGCTAATTCTCATCCTCACTTGTCTTTAAAAAATCATAATTTTTAGTTAAAAATCCAAATTATGTATATGTTGACTGAATTTATATTTATTTTTCTTTTATTCTGCTGCTCCTGCTCAATTTCAAAATCAACTTTTGCTGATATTTACGATGGTGTCAGTAATGATGGCGATGATGGTAAGGAATATTTACTTGACTGATAGATACCTCTCATCAAATTTAGATCAAAATTCCAAGGGAAAGGTCAAAAGGTTAGAGCTGTCCAAATTCAAAAATTTTCCAAGTTTCGAGACTAAGACCGAATAAAACCCCAATTATTCGATTTTATATCCGAGTCAAGATGCAAAACTAGAGATAAAACTGGGAGGGTTGCACTGTAATCGAAGTTGATATCTCGAAAATATCGATCCGGTAACCGTGATTTCTGTTCGGAAATCTCGTCCCGATACGATCTCTACTTAAGCCCAAAAATCTTGGACAACTATCTGTCATTACAAAATTGACAAAGATCTAAATTTAAATTTTTATTATAGATATCATTGATTCAGCAATTGATGCAATAATAGTAGCATCGGCGGGAGCTGAAGATATATTAGATTTGGGCAATTTGAACCAAAATACAACAGACTTTATGAAAACGCTCATTCTGGTTGGGGGAATCGTTGCGAAAGAGATTAACCCTAAAGTAAGACGTTTATCAGTTTTAAACAGTTTAACTTGACAATACATTTTCTAGGAAGGTTCCCCAAGTTATAAACAATTGGAAAAATTCAGAACCAGAACTGAAGAAATTTGGTCATTGAGATCCAGAGACAGTAAAATTAGAAACTACCAAATTCACGATGCAATTGCGTTATATTATGATGTAAGCTTTTAATGAATTCGCTGCCAACTACTATTCACATAGGGTTGCCAAATTGGACCGACTCGGACGAATTATCGCGGGCCTAAGATATTTGGCTTGAAAAAACAGTACCGGCCCGACTCGATAAAAATAAGCTTTAAAAAAATTCCTCGACTGTCGGCCCGACTCGAGGACGGCAACCTTACTTCCACAGATTCTTTAATCTTTAAAATACAGTAAATTCTCTATTATGAGGCATGCCGCTCAATTTTTAAAATAAAATTTCAATGCATAACATACAGGCTGGACTTTCTATGAAATGCACCATTGGGTTGAAATTCTTATGTTATAATTAATTCATACACTTAATAATACTCCCTTATCGTTTAGACAGTTGGGAAGAAAGGAAACTTGAGAACACAAACATTAATTATTCCATTATTACTTTATTGGTACTTGTGAGTTATCCCAAACCAGTTTTTGCGGACATATTTTGCGGACTCTTTTGTATACACAGAATGGTCAGTCTTCCTCCTTTCCTCAATTTCACTATATTTCACTATGGAATTATTTAATGAGAGGCAATAAAGAAAGGATTATTTTTAAATATAAACGACCGATTTTTAAATCATGTTTGCCTCATCGAATAATGCCATAGTGAAATATAGTGAAATTGAGGAAAGAGGAAGACTGACCATTCTGTGTATACAAAAGAGTCCGCAAAATACGTCCACAAAAACCGTGACAATCACAGTCTTACCAAATCATGGAACGACCAAAATACGGAATAAACAAAATGTGGACCATTCTGTGCTTTCAGTGCATCTTTTCCGTAATAGTAGTTTATCCCCACCCCTTTTTTACGGAATCCTTGACCATTTTAAGCTGGATTGATACCACAATTGGTTAGATTTGTCAAAAACATGAAGTTGTTCTGGGCCTTAATTTGGTAAGACTGTTAGGGTACGTTTTACGGAGTTTGGTGCTTATCATCCTAGAAAAATATTTCTAAATGACTGAAATATGTAAAAATGAAAAGATTGATCTGTTATTTTCATATTTGATGGCATTGCAGAAAAATAATCCTTTTTTGTTGCCTCTCTTTATTGCCTCTATTAACACAGTGAATAGAGTGAGGAAAATTTGTGAATAGTGAGTGAAATTGAGAAAAGAGTTCACTATGCCATTATTCGATGAGGCAAACATGATTTAAAAATCGGTCGTTTATATTTAAAAATAATCCTTTCTTTATTGCCTCTCATTAAATAATGCCATAGTGAAATAGAGTGAAATTGAGGAAAGGAGGAAGACTGACCACTCTGTGTATACAAAAGAGTCCGCAAAATATGTCTGCAAAAACTGGTTTGGGATAACTCACAAGTACCACTTTATTTTTTAGGAGGTTACTGAACCAATTATGATGTTAAAAAAGCTAACTGATCAAATTCTCAACCCAAACCTTTACAAATCTGAACAAGACATCAAATATTTTAAAATAAAATGCGAGATGTAAGAATTTTATCATTTTAGTGCGGATGTGCTTAATTCTAATTTTTCTATTATAAACTCATAGGGTTTATCGTAGAAGTCTAATTTAGAAAATTTACTTTTAATAGACTTATACCTAGTATTAACTGTGGGCTGTGGGGGGGGGGGTAACTGTGGGGGGGGGGTATTAACTGTGTGTGTGTCTATATCATTAAAAGAGCAAATCGAGCTGAGTCAATAAGTACAATATTGTTTCGCAGGTGAAAATCAAACATGTAAAGATAGGATAATTAAAATCAAATTCGCTTTGTTAAGAAAGGATATTAGGGAAGAAATATTAAGAAAAAAATATTAGTTGAAAAAAATTTAGGGAAGAAGATAATAAATTTAAGTTAATACAAAATTTTTTTCAGATCCCCAATTAAAATTCTAAATGTAAGTAATTAAATTAGTAAATTTTAATAGTATAAGATTGCACACCAACTATGGGACGACTTCCGCCTTCCGCAAAATTCCGCATTTTTTGCACTTGTGAGAATTTCCCCTCTTCCTTGGTGTGCAATCGATTTTATTTAATTACTTTAATAAACTCATTCAGTTTCTACGGACATTCCTTGTTAGATACTGCCCTGATCCAGTCAAACCATCCGAGGCAGAATCATTTTCTCTTAAAAGAGAGTGGTTAGTCCAAGCTTTAACTCGTTTGTCTGTTTACAATAAAGACAATCCGCCTGATGTTGGAGACTATATAATGGGTATGTTTGTGGGCATTACTGTATACTGAAGGGCTTTTTAATTCAATAATACTAGAAAATATTCTTACAAACAACAGTTTATTTTACTAAAATTGGTTAAAAATTCCAAAAAAAAAATTCCCAACGCCCAAAAAATTCCAAAAAGCCGGTACATTAGTGCCGGTTTATAATATAAATAGTTCATACAGGGATCCCATTTAAATATAAAATTTCAGAATTTTCTTCTATTTATGATTCAATTGTTGACATACGTTTGCTCAATATTGAAAATTTAGCTACGTTTTCAAATCAGTATGCAACATATAAAGAGGGATTTAAGGCGTTATTTAAAGAATTACAAAGTTTTATCATTACAAAGCATTACGTCTCTAAAATATTCAGGTAATTTTTAAAAACAGGTCTATTTCAAACGGATCTAATTTTACAAAAACACTAGAAGTTTAAGAAACGTTTCTCAAAACGTATGTCGGTTACTTTGAAAATTTTCAGTAGGTCATCTAAGTACAAATTTATTAATCGCATCATAAAATGATGTTAAGCAGATCTCTCTATATATTGGCTATCCCTCTACTATTCCAATCTTATTAAGCTTAATTATCTGTCAGCAAAAATTAAATAAGAATAATTTTTACTTATTTAATATTTATTAATTTTTAGATGCTTCATGAAGAATTTTGTTCTTGAAATAAATTTTGACAACGTCCAGATAGATGCCTTTGCTGCGCAATTAAAAAACGAAAATATCGATTTGGTAAACTTTTTATTTTAAATACGTATTATCAGAAAACATTAATCACCTTTAGGCAGACTATCCCTTTAATTCCAATGAATAAACATTTCAAAAATTTTCGACAAAAAGTTTAAATTTAAAAATATTTAGTTATTTGCTACATCTATTTGTGCAAAAGTTGTTTTTGGAGATCATGAGAAGTCAATAGAAATATATACAAAGAGCATAATAGATAATGTGAATTATATTACAAATCATAGTGCTTGGTGGCTTAATTCATCCCTAGTAAGTGGATTTAGTTAAATAATTCTGGAGGGATAATAAGAATGCAAGCTTTACAACTTGCAATTCAATTTCACATTTTTAAAATTTTCTTTAATCTGATCCTTTACAATATCGAAAAATTCAGGCCTCATCGTGGCCTAATGTTCATATGGGCATTATCAAGACTCAGATATTAATGCTGTCTCTTACGCCAATATCTACAAAAGACGATAATTTCAAAAAGGCTATTGAGCACTCCATTTCGAAGCTCAAGACAACGGGGCTCAAAAGGTATGCCTTTTAATTATACAACGTCTATGTGAATTTTCTAAAAACCCAAAATAGTCAAGACCAGAAATGCATACCGTAAATTCAAATAAAAACTAATTTAAGTTACAATTATCAAATTGTTATAATAAACAAAACTGATGAGATATATATGGAAGGAGATCCAAATTACTGCTATTTATTGAATAACACTGACGACTTCGACATTTTTCTATCACGATGGTACAACAATAAGACGGAACACAAACGTAAATGGAAAAGTATATATCGGCGTCAAAAAATTTAATTTAGTAAAATTTCAAATTTGACTGAAACCTTCAGTCAGATTTGAAATTTGACGCCAATTTAAATTTTTGCTACCTTTGACACCGATTAACAAATAAAATTATTATTTAGGTGAACTGAATTCACGTCTTGTGCAGCATTATTTATATGGCAAAAACATCACACAAAATTTGCCGGACATAATGATGTAAGTTATTAAATATATTGCTCTCATATAGAAAAACTGAGACTTAAAAACCGTGATAACAGATACTTATGCATGTCCATTTCATACGTCAAATCTCAAAAATATTATTAAAAATTAACTTCAAAACATTTTTTATTTATAGAAAAGTTTACAATGCAGATAATTTAACCGTTGTGGCTGGTGCTATTAAAAAAGAAATGCAAGGGATAATTTCGCCGCAACACTTTCGATGTGGGCTTATACTGCGAACCTTTGCATCATGGCCGCTTATTTCTTGTACAGAAATCATATACAGAAAGTCGAATTATAGACGTGGACTCCTTGACGCTTCTCCCGTTTTTAGTTATAAAAAGCCAGGAGGCATAACTCATGTATGTGAAGACTACAGATTTATTTTTTTCATTTAATTTTTTTACTTGTGTTATTTAATATTTTTCAAAAATTTTGAAGTTTTAATAAATTCATCGGTACTTTATCGAAAAAACAAATTAAAACATATCCTCCTTTTTCCATTTTATCATTTAAAAAAGTAAAAATTGGTGAATCAATCCAAGTAACATTTTTTTCAAAATAAAGTCAAAGTTTTAAAATAGACAGTGAAATCTCTCTATAACGACACCCCTATGAACCGAAATGAGCTGACGTAAAAGGGAGAAACCCCTTTAGTTTTTTCAAAAGGACTAAACCACTTTAGTCGAAATTTGGTTGGCTGACTTAAGAGGGAAGGAGCCCAGGGAAGGAGAGAGATTTAAGGCGATTATGGGAAGGAAGCTGTTTAAAAAAGGGTGTCGTAATAGAGAGATTCAACTGTAATTAAAGATAAAATAAAATAATTGTTGGTTTAACTATAATATAGGCGTAACCAGAAAACTCGAAAATTTTCGAAAAAATTTTTTTCCGAAATTTCGCGATTTTTAAAATACTATCCAATAGGTTTTATGATTACGCCTACAAATTTTTTGTCGATTTAACTTGAAATTTTTTAAAAAACAAATATATATAGGTGTGTTTAAATAATGTCAACAATGGTTTTGTGTATATATTTATTGTTGTGTTTAAATAAACAAGCGGAGAGAGAGGGGATTTTTTCGAGAAAAGGAAATTTGTTAAATTCCAAAATTTTTGTAAAATTTAGACGGAAGAAAAAGCAGATATTTAAATATTTTTATTATTTTTGGGATTGAATTTAGCTTGAAAAAAATTTTTTTTGATTAGACCTACGAGAAGTTCTCAAAAAAAATTATTAAAAAATTGCAAAAAAATTATAAAAAAAAAAGTTTGCCTCAAAAAAAATTTTTTTTGCAAACATCCTACTACCCAAAAAAATCATCAATTAGAAAAAAATTTTCTTTCCTTCTCTTCGCTTGTTTATTTATTTTTATAAAAATATTTATGTGGTTTGGTGTTTTCTCAAAATTTATTTTTGTCGGTTTCAAAATTTTTAAAATAAAATTACATAAAATTGTTCAACTTGAAAAAAAATCGCGTTTAAAAAACCTTTTCAAAAAAGTCATATCATCATTTTCCCCCAAAAGTTTTCCATTTCCCTTCCAAAAAAATTCTTCTATTGACGTTGACCTTTACCTCCAGAACGATTTCCTCCTCCTCCCCCACCAATACGTCCAACACCACGAAGTCCACCAGAAGATAAACCACGTCCGCCTAAAGCCATATTACGCTTTGTTGGATCTATACGACGCCAAACATAACGCATCATTTCACGAAGTTTTGTATTTGTTTCCTTTTAAAAAAATTAAAAAAAAATTTTTTTGTTTAAAAATATTTTTTGAAAAAATTTTTAAGCCATAAAATCAGAAAAAATAAAAATCAGAAATTCTGGTTGACCTATAAACATATCCTGATACCAGAATTCTGGTTTTCTGAACTAATTCTGGTTTTTCATTTTACAAATTTTCCAAAAACAGAGTTTCTGACTCTCAACCTTTGGCTTTATAAGAACCAGAATATTCTAATTCAAGTTTACAACCAGAGACCTTTTCTGATTTGACGACCAGAAATTCTTATTTTATAAACAAGAATTTTTATTTTTTTTAATTTTTCAGAATCAGAATATTCTGATTTAAAAATTAAATTATCCCAAAAAAACCTCTTCCTCCTGTGGTCCATTAAATTGATGTGTCTTCTTCAACTCATGACGCAAATTCATCAAAATTTTTCCTCCTTCATTCTCGCCATCCCAAAAAACTGGCTTGTTAGACTCATCACGGTTTTTACGCCAACCAGTGCCGAAAAACTTGAAGAAAAAATTAATTTTTTTGAAATTTTTTTCCTCAAAAAAACCTTATCCTCCGAAGCTACAGCCAAATAAGTCGTCTTTGTAAGCACAAGAAGATTACATATCCAACGAACTTGGTCAAGTTTTAAACGCTGTCCTTCTTCCCAAATGTCATGTTTAACCTTTAAAATATTAAAAAAATATTTTTTGAATTTTTTTTCAGATTGAAATTCCAATTTTTAAAAACCAGAATTTCCGAAAAAAACCTCTATTCGAATTTTGAGAACCAGAATTATTATTTCTAAAAATCCAGAATTCACGTTCTGAATTCTCAAAATCAGAATCCAAATGTTTTCTAACAGAATTCTTTAGTAAAAACCGAAATTATAGCGTATTAAAACATGAATTCTGGCTTCAGAACCAGGATTCTGATGTCACAAAACCAGGGTTCAGAACCAGAGGTTTCTGATTTTTTAAAACTATAATTCTGATTTTAACTATAATTACTGTTATAAAGTTTCAAAACCAAAAGTATCGAAACAGTATTAAAAATCAGGGTACTACTCTGTTATCACTACTTGTTTTTGCGGACTTTTTTTGCGGACAATTTATTCCATCAGTTAAAAATTTGTTTGTCTAACATTTGTCCGTAAAACAGGTAGGTATAACGGAGTAGTACCAGAATCAAAATTATTTTTGATTTTTAAAAATAATTCTGAATTTTTCATTAAAAATCAAAATTAACAAAAATTATAAACCTCATCCCAAACTTTGCTGTCAAACTTTTGAATATTCTTAACAGCTTCTTCAGCAGTCTGAACATTTGGTGCTTGCATCAATTTCTTCTTACATTCCTCATCCCCAAACTTTTCAGCCATTTTATACCAATAAAAACGCTCAGCAGATTTATGTTCAATACCCTCCTTGTCTCTAATAGTAACTTCAAAACGAAGACTTAATGGGTCTGAAAATTGAAATGGGAGATAAAAATTAGAAAAATAAATGGGAAAATAAATTTGAAAATTGACTCCCTTTATCTCAAAACCAAAAGAAAAATCAGAAATCAAGGAGACAAAAATAAGCCTCAAAACAATAGAAAAGGGAGATATAGTTGGGATCTCTCTTACAGGTGCTCAAAAATTAAGCTTAGGGAGAAAGCGCAGATCCTGCGACCATCTAGCAGCTATTAGCCCCCTTGACAACGTCCAGATAGATGCCTTTGCTGCGCAATTAAAAAACGAAAATATCGATTTGGTAAACTTTTTATTTTAAATACGTATTATCAGAAAACATTAATCACCTTTAGGCAGACTATCCCTTTAATTCCAATGAATAAACATTTCAAAAATTTTCGACAAAAAGTTTAAATTTAAAAATATTTAGTTATTTGCTACATCTATTTGTGCAAAAGTTGTTTTTGGAGATCATGAGAAGTCAATAGAAATATATACAAAGAGCATAATAGATAATGTGAATTATATTACAAATCATAGTGCTTGGTGGCTTAATTCATCCCTAGTAAGTGGATTTAGTTAAATAATTCTGGAGGGATAATAAGAATGCAAGCTTTACAACTTGCAATTCAATTTCACATTTTTAAAATTTTCTTTAATCTGATCCTTTACAATATCGAAAAATTCAGGCCTCATCGTGGCCTAATGTTCATATGGGCATTATCAAGACTCAGATATTAATGCTGTCTCTTACGCCAATATCTACAAAAGACGATAATTTCAAAAAGGCTATTGAGCACTCCATTTCGAAGCTCAAGACAACGGGGCTCAAAAGGTATGCCTTTTAATTATACAACGTCTATGTGAATTTTCTAAAAACCCAAAATAGTCAAGACCAGAAATGCATACCGTAAATTCAAATAAAAACTAATTTAAGTTACAATTATCAAATTGTTATAATAAACAAAACTGATGAGATATATATGGAAGGAGATCCAAATTACTGCTATTTATTGAATAACACTGACGACTTCGACATTTTTCTATCACGATGGTACAACAATAAGACGGAACACAAACGTAAATGGAAAAGTATATATCGGCGTCAAAAAATTTAATTTAGTAAAATTTCAAATTTGACTGAAACCTTCAGTCAGATTTGAAATTTGACGCCAATTTAAATTTTTGCTACCTTTGACACCGATTAACAAATAAAATTATTATTTAGGTGAACTGAATTCACGTCTTGTGCAGCATTATTTATATGGCAAAAACATCACACAAAATTTGCCGGACATAATGATGTAAGTTATTAAATATATTGCTCTCATATAGAAAAACTGAGACTTAAAAACCGTGATAACAGATACTTATGCATGTCCATTTCATACGTCAAATCTCAAAAATATTATTAAAAATTAACTTCAAAACATTTTTTATTTATAGAAAAGTTTACAATGCAGATAATTTAACCGTTGTGGCTGGTGCTATTAAAAAAGAAATGCAAGGGATAATTTCGCCGCAACACTTTCGATGTGGGCTTATACTGCGAACCTTTGCATCATGGCCGCTTATTTCTTGTACAGAAATCATATACAGAAAGTCGAATTATAGACGTGGACTCCTTGACGCTTCTCCCGTTTTTAGTTATAAAAAGCCAGGAGGCATAACTCATGTATGTGAAGACTACAGATTTATTTTTTTCATTTAATTTTTTTACTTGTGTTATTTAATATTTTTCAAAAATTTTGAAGTTTTAATAAATTCATCGGTACTTTATCGAAAAAACAAATTAAAACATATCCTCCTTTTTCCATTTTATCATTTAAAAAAGTAAAAATTGGTGAATCAATCCAAGTAACATTTTTTTCAAAATAAAGTCAAAGTTTTAAAATAGACAGTGAAATCTCTCTATAACGACACCCCTATGAACCGAAATGAGCTGACGTAAAAGGGAGAAACCCCTTTAGTTTTTTCAAAAGGACTAAACCACTTTAGTCGAAATTTGGTTGGCTGACTTAAGAGGGAAGGAGCCCAGGGAAGGAGAGAGATTTAAGGCGATTATGGGAAGGAAGCTGTTTAAAAAAGGGTGTCGTAATAGAGAGATTCAACTGTAATTAAAGATAAAATAAAATAATTGTTGGTTTAACTATAATATAGGCGTAACCAGAAAACTCGAAAATTTTCGAAAAAATTTTTTTCCGAAATTTCGCGATTTTTAAAATACTATCCAATAGGTTTTATGATTACGCCTACAAATTTTTTGTCGATTTAACTTGAAATTTTTTAAAAAACAAATATATATAGGTGTGTTTAAATAATGTCAACAATGGTTTTGTGTATATATTTATTGTTGTGTTTAAATAAACAAGCGGAGAGAGAGGGGATTTTTTCGAGAAAAGGAAATTTGTTAAATTCCAAAATTTTTGTAAAATTTAGACGGAAGAAAAAGCAGATATTTAAATATTTTTATTATTTTTGGGATTGAATTTAGCTTGAAAAAAATTTTTTTTGATTAGACCTACGAGAAGTTCTCAAAAAAAATTATTAAAAAATTGCAAAAAAATTATAAAAAAAAAAGTTTGCCTCAAAAAAAATTTTTTTTGCAAACATCCTACTACCCAAAAAAATCATCAATTAGAAAAAAATTTTCTTTCCTTCTCTTCGCTTGTTTATTTATTTTTATAAAAATATTTATGTGGTTTGGTGTTTTCTCAAAATTTATTTTTGTCGGTTTCAAAATTTTTAAAATAAAATTACATAAAATTGTTCAACTTGAAAAAAAATCGCGTTTAAAAAACCTTTTCAAAAAAGTCATATCATCATTTTCCCCCAAAAGTTTTCCATTTCCCTTCCAAAAAAATTCTTCTATTGACGTTGACCTTTACCTCCAGAACGATTTCCTCCTCCTCCCCCACCAATACGTCCAACACCACGAAGTCCACCAGAAGATAAACCACGTCCGCCTAAAGCCATATTACGCTTTGTTGGATCTATACGACGCCAAACATAACGCATCATTTCACGAAGTTTTGTATTTGTTTCCTTTTAAAAAAATTAAAAAAAAATTTTTTTGTTTAAAAATATTTTTTGAAAAAATTTTTAAGCCATAAAATCAGAAAAAATAAAAATCAGAAATTCTGGTTGACCTATAAACATATCCTGATACCAGAATTCTGGTTTTCTGAACTAATTCTGGTTTTTCATTTTACAAATTTTCCAAAAACAGAGTTTCTGACTCTCAACCTTTGGCTTTATAAGAACCAGAATATTCTAATTCAAGTTTACAACCAGAGACCTTTTCTGATTTGACGACCAGAAATTCTTATTTTATAAACAAGAATTTTTATTTTTTTTAATTTTTCAGAATCAGAATATTCTGATTTAAAAATTAAATTATCCCAAAAAAACCTCTTCCTCCTGTGGTCCATTAAATTGATGTGTCTTCTTCAACTCATGACGCAAATTCATCAAAATTTTTCCTCCTTCATTCTCGCCATCCCAAAAAACTGGCTTGTTAGACTCATCACGGTTTTTACGCCAACCAGTGCCGAAAAACTTGAAGAAAAAATTAATTTTTTTGAAATTTTTTTCCTCAAAAAAACCTTATCCTCCGAAGCTACAGCCAAATAAGTCGTCTTTGTAAGCACAAGAAGATTACATATCCAACGAACTTGGTCAAGTTTTAAACGCTGTCCTTCTTCCCAAATGTCATGTTTAACCTTTAAAATATTAAAAAAATATTTTTTGAATTTTTTTTCAGATTGAAATTCCAATTTTTAAAAACCAGAATTTCCGAAAAAAACCTCTATTCGAATTTTGAGAACCAGAATTATTATTTCTAAAAATCCAGAATTCACGTTCTGAATTCTCAAAATCAGAATCCAAATGTTTTCTAACAGAATTCTTTAGTAAAAACCGAAATTATAGCGTATTAAAACATGAATTCTGGCTTCAGAACCAGGATTCTGATGTCACAAAACCAGGGTTCAGAACCAGAGGTTTCTGATTTTTTAAAACTATAATTCTGATTTTAACTATAATTACTGTTATAAAGTTTCAAAACCAAAAGTATCGAAACAGTATTAAAAATCAGGGTACTACTCTGTTATCACTACTTGTTTTTGCGGACTTTTTTTGCGGACAATTTATTCCATCAGTTAAAAATTTGTTTGTCTAACATTTGTCCGTAAAACAGGTAGGTATAACGGAGTAGTACCAGAATCAAAATTATTTTTGATTTTTAAAAATAATTCTGAATTTTTCATTAAAAATCAAAATTAACAAAAATTATAAACCTCATCCCAAACTTTGCTGTCAAACTTTTGAATATTCTTAACAGCTTCTTCAGCAGTCTGAACATTTGGTGCTTGCATCAATTTCTTCTTACATTCCTCATCCCCAAACTTTTCAGCCATTTTATACCAATAAAAACGCTCAGCAGATTTATGTTCAATACCCTCCTTGTCTCTAATAGTAACTTCAAAACGAAGACTTAATGGGTCTGAAAATTGAAATGGGAGATAAAAATTAGAAAAATAAATGGGAAAATAAATTTGAAAATTGACTCCCTTTATCTCAAAACCAAAAGAAAAATCAGAAATCAAGGAGACAAAAATAAGCCTCAAAACAATAGAAAAGGGAGATATAGTTGGGATCTCTCTTACAGGTGCTCAAAAATTAAGCTTAGGGAGAAAGCGCAGATCCTGCGACCATCTAGCAGCTATTAGCCCCTACCGACATGGGCTACCTAGGTTACTTTTACCCCTAAACCCAAACCTTGCCTGATTCCTAAAGCAAGCCTAATTCCCCCCTTAAACTTAGAAAAAATTTTAAAAAAGTAACCGTGTATTCCTCCAATCAAATAAAAGTCTCGATTAAGATCGTCATAGTCATATTCAGATTCTGGAGCTCGCCCATCGTCAACATCAACAAGCTTTTCATTTGTCAATTTGCCAACTTTCTCATTTAAAGTTTTGATTTTAAGCTTCATACGGCCATTTTCAAGCTTTAAAAGTTGTTTGATTAAAAAAATAACTTAAGCAGATTTTCATCATCTATAAAAAGGGTCTTATTACCCGATACAAAGGTTGCTAGGTGTCCAACCTAAAAACGGTCGAGAACGGACTCATTCGATAGAGAATGTGCCCTTTCTAGCCAGGATTTTGAGGCGTTTTTGCCCGTTTTTTGATCTGGCCAAGATATGGCCCCCAAAGTCACCTAGAAAGGGCACATTTTCTCGGCACATTCTCTATCGAATGAGCCCGGTCCCGGTCTCGACCGTTTTTAGGTCTATTAAAAAGTCGAAAACTATGTGCTGTGTTTCTAAAAGGCCTCACCCAACCAAAAAACTTTTTTTGAAAGTTCTGGAGATGATCCCAATGCAAAAAATTTTAAAAAGTATCCAAAAATGAGTGTACATTTTTAAGTCCAACCCAAACCCATAAAAAATAAAAAAATTAACCTTCAACTTGCGAATAGCCTTGCGCAAACTTTCCTGAAAAAATACAATTTTAACATAAAAATAATAAACTAAAATAAACCTTTTCGTTCTCAAGTAAGATGACTGCATTACGAACCAGCATAGCATCTTGCTTGATTATTGCAAGCTGAAAAAAAATATTGAAAATGATTTAAAAAATTTCGAATATTCCCTTTTTAAACGAGAGTAAGGGAGAGGTAAAAAAGTTTAGCACGGGCAGGCAGAACCTACAACCTCATATCATTAATTGCCCAGCGTCCTAACTCAACACGTACCAGGTAGGCGCTCTATCGAATGATGTGAGTTATCTGAGTTTTGTTTTCAACAACCCTTTTTTAATAAACAAAGCCTAGCTAAAGCGGACTTCTTCCTTACACTATAAGGTAAATATCAAAAAGAGGAGATAAATTAAAGGAGCAGTTTGTGGTCCACAAATTGAACTAAAATTTTTATCTCCCCAACCCCTTTTCAAAAATTGCCACTAAAATATATTTTTTAATTTCAACCTCGTTTTGGATGTTCACATTTACCGCCATACTTAAATCAAATTTTTAAAATTTTCAATTTAAATTTGTGTGTAAAATTTCCTGAAAAAAAAGAAAAATATTAAAATAGAATAAAAATTGTTTTCCACTACCAAACAAAGGAAGAATTTACAATTTCCCATCGAACGATTATAAAAATCGATTTATTCTTTTTTTTGTAAAAAAAATTATTTAATAACTCATTCTGTTGTGGCATTGAAAAAGAGAAAAAAATTTTTTTAATTAGCTAGAAATGACATTTCGTCCCAAAAATCAACCAAGTGACATTTTGTCCCAAAATCAACTGAGTGACATTTGGTCCCACAATCGATTAAATTACATTTTCCCCAAAATCAAAATTTTCTACATCCCCATAATGCTTACTAATTCGGCAATAAATCCCCCTTCCTTCCCCCATCACTTTATCCAAACTTGTATAGTTTGGTGTAGTTGGATAGTTCCCATTTTTTCACACTAGAGGGGTCGAAGGTTCGAACCCTTTTGGTGGAAAACAATTTTAATTTTCACAAAAAATAAATTTTAAAATTAAAAAACAATAAAAAATGAACAGAAAAATTTTTTTTTGGTCAAAAAACCAAATTACATAAAATTAAAAAAAATAAAATTAATTAACTTTTTATTAGTCAAGCACTTTTTTAGTTTTTTTCTTTTTTTAGCAAATTAAAAAACAAAAAAAAAGAAAAAAAATTTTTAACAAAAAAGGAGTATATAATTAATGCAAAATTAGTTTTGTGCAATAATTAATTTCAAAAATATAGAATTCGAGGATATATAATTTATTAAATATAATTAAGGTTGCGTCAAAAAATTTTCGATTTTTGCGGACAAAAACTTGCGGACAAATAAACACTCTTATTTTTCCTTAGCATTCAGACTCACTGGGGCATTTATAAAGTCTTTTCACATCTTAAATTTTTAATAAACCCAAAAAATTTAACAATTCATTAAATTGTCAAAAAAATTTGCGGATAAAATTTTTGCGGACAACTTTTTGCGGACAAAAAAAATTGCGGATAATCAATACCCTCATCTTTCCCCCACCCACAAACCTCATCTTTCCCCCACTCTTTTCACTTTTTAAAATAAATCCAAGGTTCGTTTAATTTCTATGGAGAACCATATAACAACTTAATTTGTCCCTAAAAATATTCATGACACAACCCCTTCAAATAATTTGGAAAAAAAATTTTTTGTGGACAAAAATTAAAAAAGTCAAAAAATTCCAATCTCCTAAAAAAACTTTCCTCAAAAAAATAATAAACCTTTTCCAAAAATTCTTTCAATCAGCCTTTTTAGTTTTCAACAAACTCGAATCTTCTCCTTCTCCTCCACCACCTTCTTCTTCCCCATCACTAACTTCACGAATATCATCAACACCATTATTCACCGATTTAATTGCAATTTTAAGTAAAATATAAGTCCAAAAGAAGTGAAGAATTAGCAGAAAGCACAAAATTAAGAGGAAAACACGTGGAATAATTGGTCGTTGTAATAAATTTCCCCATCTGTGACAATTTAAAAAATTAATTAAAAATTGAAAAAATTTAAATTCGATAGACTCATTTCGGTCAAAAGTTCAAACCCGAAAAAACATTGAACATCACTTCAAACCGTTAGATCCCCAAAAATATTTTTATAAACCAGTGGAATCGAAAAAAATTTAAATTAAGGTTTGGTCAACATTTTCGTTTTGGTCAACCTTTTAAAAAACAACAAAAAATCATAGAGTATCAATTCGTAGCCTTGAACATCCCAAAATTATTTTTTTTAATTTCTTAAAAATCCAAAAAAATTCAAATTAGGTCAAGAATCATTTAGAGCAAAATTTAGAATATCAACCCCAAACCTTAAACCCCATAAATATTTTTTTAAAAATTCCTAAAAAAATACAAACCGATAAGATTCCTGTATTAATGTTGGTCCATCAAAAATCATACACCGAAGCATTACAAATGGAAAATAAAAAAGTCGAGTTGATATCCAAACAAACATAAAAACACTAAAGTCAATGGTTACAGCTTTGTCCCAACCAGCATAGCGAAATAGTTTTCCAAGTTCTCTAAAAAGAATTTTTAGTAAAAATAAAAAATGGTCTAAATTGGGATTCTTTATCGGTGCCATGATATCCAACGCGTCTGGTTTATTGTTAGCTCTATGAGGCTGGTTATTAGACTCAAAAAAATTCACCGGACTTATGTCATTGGACTTATAAAAGTTCAATGAACTAATAAAGGTTCATTGGTCTCATAAACCAACCCAGAGCTAATCTAACAAGGTTCCTAAAGGGTTTTAAGCGATTGATCAGAAACAGAACTTGACAGCTTTGGAAAAAACTGATAAAAGACTTGGGACGAATAAGACACTCAATCAGACAAAACATAAAAACCCAGAAAAGAAAATCCCAAAAAATTTTAAAAAACCCTACAAGAAAATATCCGCACAGTCATGGATCAGAAGAATCATGGATCCAAATCGTACAAAATTTACGGTGAAACTCATAGCCAATAAAATAATTGTAGCCATATGGTGCAAAGCCATTTCAATGTGATCTGATCTTTTTACATCAAAAGTCAAAATGCTTAAAATTTGGGAAATCTAAAGATATGAAAAAGATAGTAAAATAAACCTGAATATTAATGACCAATAAAATCCAGTTTGAATGACATAATACCACCAGACGGGGCTGAAAAGGATAAAAATTTAGAACGAATATAAGAAAAAGTTAGATATTTCAAATGGAAGCAGAACAGTCATCGCGAGCCAAGTATACGTTAAAGAACCTTCCACTCCCAAAAAATTTTCCTTGTCCATGTGACTGACTTGCCCCAACCTTTATAGGCCTAGTTATAGGCTCTACTATAATGCGTTAGATTTGACTATACTCAATGTCAGGATAGGATGACAAAATTTATTTTAAAAGAGTTGACGATTCTTGGACCTTCGGATATCCAGAACCGAACCAAAGTATCTTAAGTTTGCTTCAGAACCGATAACCCCCTTGAACCCCCGCGAAAAAAATAATGGCTACGGCGATGCCTAAGACTCCCAAAAAAATTAGCATTCAAAGAAAAATACTAGAAAAAATATACGTTGGCAAATGATGATTAGGCCAATTCCTAAAGCTTTCAGCAATAAAAGTAAATTGTGGTTGATCACGAAGAATGTAAAAACCAGCAATACAAATACAAGAATAATAAGTAAAACGCCATGCAGTCTCAGAAACCCGTTTAAATTTGCTACGACCGGCAAAACCAAAAAATAAATGCGAGTGGATTCGTTGTAGAAGAGTACCCTGTAAATTATGTAAAAAATGGCATGAACTCCACAATCATGTAAGTCAATTGACGAGAACCCCAAAAGTTAATTAAGCCTAGGTGGACCGGTAATATTGAAGAGTATGGGCCCCATTTTTTCCTCCCTATTTTTCCCCCTATATTTTTACAAAATGGTCAGACTTTTTCCTTCCTTCCATCCAACTTGCCTTTATAATTTTTGCCTACAACCAAACAAAAAGGATTATTTTTTGGTATTTTATTCCCCGTTTTAATAGAGAAAACGAGTCTTCTCAAAACTCATACTTGTTAAATACCAAAAAATAATCCTTTTTCTTTGTTTCAAGGCAAAAATTAGAAAGGCAAGTTGGATGGAAGGAAGGAAAAAGTCTGACCATTTTAAAAAGATAGGGGGAAAAATAGGGAGGAAAAAATGGGGCCCATACTCTTCAATATTACCGGTGGACCTTTCTAGCTTTAGTGGACTTTGTAATTCGAGGTCTTAAATTTGAAACAATCAACGAATCAGCCAACCTAAGCCGAATAACGACAATGATCCTTAAAAAAATTGGGTACAAGAAAAAAGCCAGATATCCGAAAAATACCTGGACAAAGTAAAAAACTCAGACCAGGTCCCATACCCAACTCGACCTCGAATTATAGTCCTTAAATTGAGCGAACAACATACAGTGGGGTGCAGAAGTAATGACTCATGGGTCGCGCAAAGTAATTTAGTACTATAACTTTTTAGGAAATGGTCCAAATGAAACTGATAATGGATGAAAATATTCCTCAAGGTGTCAGCTTTAAATATATATAAAACTTGGCTAAAATTAATTTCAATTGTGAAAGTTAAAAATTTTCAAACGAGACCACCTCAATTTTAGCCGGTGCAAAAGTAATAACTCAAAATTTTATCGAATCATATCTCTGACTAGTTTTCATCCATTATCAGTTTCATTTGGACAATTTCCTAAAAAGTTATAGTACTAAATTACTTTGCGCGACCCATGAGTCATTACTTTTGCACCCCACTGTATATACCCGTAGTATAAGGGCAGCATGTTGGATTTTGATTGACTGTCGTCTCCCTATTAGATAGACCAACGTCGTACTAAAGCCTATCCATATTTATAACAGTAAAACCATAAAACCCTCCAAAAGCAAACCTTTTTATTATCCATCCAACCAGAAAGATAGCCAACAGGAACAAAAATAAAAGCTTCAACCAATATTCTCAACAAAGTAATTAAAATCCCAATAAGCAAAGTATAGCCAAATTCATGAAATTGAGGGTATTGGATTCCATTTTTTGAACGTAAATCTGACCAAGTAACATTCTCGGGTAACCAAAATTGTTCAGACCAAAACCAGTTTAGCGAGTTGAGATTACTCATTTTTTAGGCAAAAAGCACCTCCCTTCCTAGAAGAAAAAAAAATTGAAATTTTGAAAAATGAGCGTTTATTAAAAAAAAAGGAACACGCCCAAGTAGGCGCGCGGCCATAACGGCGCAAAGCCATAATTTGCTGGAAAAGTTCCGGCCCTTTCAATTTTGATACCAACCTCTCTAGCTCGATGAGAGGAATCGTTTAATACTAAATTTGGTAAGATTTGGTGAGTTTGAAGCAAATTATGGCTTTGCGCCGTTATGGCCGCGCGCCGATTTGGGAAAATAATTAAGAAAATCAACGAGACTCTAGAGGACCTTTTAGAAATAAGGAAGAGAAAAAGAAATAGTACATAGAGAAAAAGAGGGAGAAATAGAAAAAAAATTATTGATTTGATGGCGCTTCTCTTTTCGCGACTAAACGGCGTATTTTGGGAAAAGAGAGTGGTACATATCCGCGACTAAACAGGACAATCAGTTAGAAACTACTGCGAATAAATGGGGCGTTTATGAAAAGAGTGTGGAGATTAGACAAAAGAGAAAACGATTATTTCCAGAATAGACATTTTGCCAATTCCATATTTTGCCAATAAGAGTAAAACTTTCCATTCTGTCAACAATGCTTGATGACAAAAAGAGAATTTTTACACTTGTTGGCGAAATGTGAGTTTGGCCAGATATGTTAAATTGTATATTTTTTCTTTTGAGTCTGCAACAAATTTTTGAATTGCTTGCGGCTAGTTGGACTCAGTCTCAAGAATTTTTTGAATTTTAAATTTTGTTTTCAATTTTTTTATTTTTTGTTTTAGCTTCGGTTTTTCCTTATTTTTTAGATTTTTTTATTGCCTCAGATTATTTATTTATTGAATATGGACAAGGAATTGAAGGAGGTTAACGAACAAATTTCTAAATGTGAGTTAATTTCTTTAAAGAAGATTAAAGGGAGATTGATCTTCTTTGAATTTGGAGGGGTTTTTCTATTATGTTATACCTAGTAAGGATCCAAATTCTAAAATTGCTCTGGGTTTGAGCTGGACTGATTTTCGCTCGATTTATCTTAGGGTGGGTTGGAGTGTGTAACTTGTGCCAGCCGACCATGCTTTGGTTCAGCTGATCTAACTACACTAGTCCTCTGTACAAGAAAGACTCATCAAGCTTGGTAAATTCATTGGACGTGGCTCTAGGGGCAACAAAAACATGGGTATTGGCCCAAACTTCGCCCAACCTTCCTTTGACTCCAGCCTAGATTTACAGTCATAATCTTGCCCAGTCCCCAATTTAATTTAAACTTTTTTTAGTAACGAATGAAGTCGCTAAAGATTTTGAGATGAAATATCGTGATTGTATACCCGATTTTCTGGTGCTAGCTGATTGTCAGGACAAAATCAAGAAATCGATTGATTATGGAGATGAACAGCTTAAATTAATTGAAGATCAAATATCTATTGTTGAGAAGACTTTGGATATCTCAAAGGTTTGGAATTTTTGTTTAAATGAACTCGATGAGGTAACTGTTCCCCTTTAGAACATGACAAGCTTAAGAACAGGGATGTCATAAGGCACCCGATACGTGATATCCGAGGAATTTTCTTAAAGCCAACCGATACCCGGACGGTTTTATTGGTCCAAAATTTCGTTCTGAAGGAAATTTTGAACCCGACACGACTTTGTTTCTCAACCCGTTACATCCATGCTTAAGAGTCTTGTCCTGAAAAAGAGCTGAAAGTGCCTATTTTCCCGTTTTTTACCTGCTGCAGAGTTTTTCTACTTTTACCTTACAATTAGGATAAATCTGACAGCACCATTATGTACATATTAAGGGACCCACAGCCTCCTTTGTGAGGGAGAAGACCAAATAAGTACCCGAAAACTCTGTATTATGGAGAAAAACTGGAAAAATAGGCAATTTTCATTTCTTTTTACGGACCAGTACTCTTAAGGATTACCCCTCTATCAAATTTAATTTCACAGAATGATTGTCCTGATGCCAAGAAGAACATTATCGAAGATTTTCTCAAAAGATTGGCAACTCTTAGCGAAATTGAGAAGTGTCTGACTGCTCTTTCTTTGCTTCCTGATAGTTTGGAAGTTGATGTTTTGGCAAATGTTCGGATGATTTTGCGGCTGGATGAACTCACAAAGGCATTGGAATCGGTATTTTTTAGAGGTTTTTGGGATTTTAATGGAAAGGTGGGAGCCGGGACGCGCCCGAATAGGCACTGTTAATCAGCAGGTCTCTATGTGTACACCCCTTGGGGTTGGAAAAAGATCGTTCCAATATTGGGTTATCGCCTATGTAATCCATTATCGGTTAGATAATCCAACAATAGCCCTATTAAGGCGTTTTTCATCCCCAAGGGCTTACATCAGGGGTGTCGGCAAATGAAAAAAATTTTTTTCAGCCGCAATCCGCAAGTCCAAAAACCACGCAATTTACGCAATCCGCAATTTCGGACATTATTGTTTTACATCCTCCGTCGACAGTCTGCCTTAATTTTAATAAACGTACTATAAATCGGGTTAACTCTAAAACACTGGTCCTGTAAGATTGATAAAATCTCCAAAATTATAGACCAAAAACATTTTAAAATTAGGAGACAACAAATATGGAAGCTGTAAATGAACGTATTTTGCCTTTACTTTCCATGGAAATTCAAACAAGGAAGACGGAAATAATTCATCAATTGGACGAGTTTTTCAAATCTTTTCTCAAATTTGAAGACAAAAATCGTGTTTTGCCAGCAACTATGCTTATGAGCATTTATTGTCCGAAAACAAATGCTGCGAGTGATGTAAGGAATGTGTTGGATTAGAACTTTTTTTGGGCATTTCTGTGATGTCTAGTAGAAATAACTAAGGGTCTAAGGAAGTAAGGACCAAATTCAGAGCACAATCGAAGGCAGGCTCGAAACCAGCCAGCATTTTTTCGAGAGGGGGGTGGGGGTCCGGGTATGAAGGAGCATCTATATTTTCGAATTTTTTCGCCCAACCTCAGAGAAACCTACCAATATCTTTACGGATTTTGTTAGGTTTACAAAATTTTTACGGACTTTAAAAAATTTTTGGGGCTCATATGATTTTTTGAATTTTTTTTATTCATCTACTAGTTTAGTTAGTCTAGCCATTCTATCTTTAAAAATTTAATTTTTAATTTTTTAAAGAATTTTTCTGCAATGCTATTATTGAACACATTTTCTGCACATTTGGATTCCTTTGTTGATTCTGTTTGGGAACAATTTTGTATGAAATTAATTTATTCTGATGAGAAAATAGACCAAATCCTTAAAATTACAAAAGACAAATTTTTTGAACATTCAATGAATTTTGAAGTGAAAAAAGATGTTGTGACTACAAAGAAGCCTGATCCTAAGAATGTTTTTAGGTTTGATTTTTTTGAGATAATTTTTTATATATTTAGGGAGAAAATAATTTGAGGGAGAGTTTGTGAGCAATTTTGTGCTTGGGCGCAAGATGATTGGACATCTAAACGTGGGTTAGAAGCCGGTTTTAGGATTATTTTCTAAACAGCTTTTATTCCCCTTTTTTCTGAACAGCTCTCCCTTCTTTCCTCACAGACTTCCTTCTCTTGTTTCCGAACAGTTTTCCTTCTCCTTCACGATAAATTTCCGTGCCGATACCTGAATGTGGGTGGTTTAGATTCTGGTTAATAGGCTTTTCTCTATGTAGGGTTTTCCTCCCTTGGAAAATTTTTTTTCTTTTTGACCATTACTGGAAAGACTCTTTTCTTATTGTGGGATGATTCTTCTCGAGGTTTCTTTTAAAAAAGCATGGCCTTTCTCCTCCCTAATATCCTTACTTCCCCAGATTTCCGCCTTAAACGTTGATCTTTGACTTTTTTTTTCTAAATGTGCTTTTGATCCTGAATTATTTTTTAATTTCAATTCTTTTTTTCAGTTCACTTACAACATTTTTTGAAAGTCTTTACCAAGCTTTGGGGAAAATTCGTATTGAAGGACGTCCATTCACCGAATTTTTTGGTGATTGTATTTGTGTTCGTTTAATCTCTGCACTTGAAAAAGGCTGTCTAAATCCAGCAATTCCATTCGATAAGGATAAGGCAACTATTGTTTATGGTGAACTTAATACTCTTATTACAGAGTTTCTCCAGTTTATGAAGGTTTTTTTTTAATTTTTTAAAAATAGATTTTTGAGTTTTAATGGCCCTGGTACTTTTTTTTCCACACCTGAAAATCCGCAAATTTTATTTTCAAATTATTTTTATCAAAAAAAATTTTTTGTTGATTTCTTTCTTTTCCCTTGCATATGCAATCCTTTTTTTGACAATATTATTTGCTTGACTTGCGGATAAAATTTGCTGACTTGAGAATTTGCAAGTTTTATTAGCAAATCTTTTCTAGGAAAAATATTTTCGATTTGATTTTTCATTTAAATATGATCTGTTGACAAAATTATTAATAAAACTTGAGGATTTTGAATTAAATTTTCTCTTAGTTTTTTGCACCACTTTTTTAGTTCCCTCAAAATTTGCTATCCCAAAAGAAATTTTTTATTTTTTAAGGACAAGGCTTTCTTTACTCCATCAGCAGATGTTTTGTTTGAAAATTTCTTCAATAGTTTTGATAGAATTACAATTGATCGGCGTTGTCATCATTATATAACTACAGCAAGAGAATTAATTAAGCAGCCTTATGTTGATTTAATTGAGGTTTTTATTTTTTATGCTTGGGCTCTTTTTAAGTATTTGGGAGTAAATTAGGGAAACTAATTGAACCTATGACCTCTTGTGACCGAACCTGTAACCTTTCTCGCTTTGCTATCGAAGTAGTGCCACTTATTTATTTTCTGTATTAGGGAAAGTCGGGTTGAGAATAAAACTGGGTCGAATCCTCGGATTGAGTTTCTCAGTGTTTCTTCTGATCGGATTTCGAATAAAATAAAGTCTTTGGTCGGTAACCCATTCCTTGGCTCCTTGCTAGTTTGTTGAGTCTTCCCGTACTGGATAGCTTGGACTGGCTTTTTTTAATTAAAGATTTGGCTCGTTTCCTTAAAAATATTTTTATAATATTTTTTCAGGTGGGCTCTTCCACTGATGATTCTGAAGAGGGAGCAGCTGAGATCGTGGCAAAAATGAATGAGCGTCTTAAAATCACATCTGAACAACCTCATCAATCTAAAGATGTACATTGGGATAAGGACCATACAAAAATTTATCAATTTCATAAATGCAAAATTAGGTTAATTTTTTTAAATTTTGATAACAAATTGAAGTTGTCACGTCTTTAAGTACTCATTTTGTGAAGATGGGGTGGGGGGTCCTTTACTAGAAAATCTAACTTTAAACTAGGAGATGTATGTCCCGTTGGAGTCTTCCGAGGCACTTGTCTGGTCTATGTGTCCAATAAAAAGCTATGTGGTTAATGACGCTTTATGAAGCTGTTATTTGACTCATAAAAGTTTACTTATAAACTAGATCAGAGCCAGTCCTTAACACGATTCTTAAAAGCTTATAAAATCGTATCTTAAGTTAAGAGGGATTTCATTCTTTAGGGTTATCTTACATTGTAGTTCACTTGTAAAATGTTAGAAACAAAATTTTTTTTTCAATTTTCAGTGTGTCAACCTTTGATTTGGTCAATCTTGTAATAGAAATTTTAAAATCAGCATCAGATTCTGCCACAGATCCAGAAGCTTGTCGTTTGGTTAATACGGCTCGAAATGTTTTGGATATGTTTGTTAATACTGCTGCAGATTATCATATGAAAGCTTTAACTTCTGTTCCTCAAATTGCTGGTTAGTTTTAAAAACCTTCAAATCTTTCGGGGTGTCTTCTTTTTTAATCATTCGAAATAGGAGTGAACTGCCCATTTTTGGTGTTATTTTTGCGGACTTTTTATATAAATATTTCCATTCTTTTTCTATAATTTGTGATAATTTCCTCCATTGTTAGCAGGCCCTTACCAGGATTCTTTTCGGGTGGCAAAATTTTTTGTGCCGAATTTTTGGCGGTGAACCCCTGGCTACGAGTTTGCTATTTAACAAGTAATGATAAACGATCTCGGTCGTTTTTTAGTGTTTTATATGCCCAATATCAATATTTTTTCATCAAAAAAATTTAAATAAATATGCAAATTGCGAGGGATATGAAGGTAAAAGTCTGCAATATTAATAAGTCGCCGATAAAAGTCCACAAAAATTGGCACTTTTTTGTCTTTACCTTTCGATGAGCGCTCTCCAAACCCCTATCCAAAATTACAAAAAAATTTTTTCTTTAAAATTTAGCTGTTTTCTTCAATAACTGTCACTACATTTGCCATCGTTTAATGACTTTGCCTGTTGATATTATGCAAAGTATGCTTAAAATTTCCAAGGTTTCTTTTGAATTTTTTGTCAAGTTCTTTCATAAATTTCAGATCTCTCAAGAAAATTGTTCATTTACCGATATGTTTACCGAATTGCGTACTTTGGGTGCTAAAACATTGGAAATTCACATAATTCATTCTAGACGTTCAATTTCTTCAACAATTGGGGAAGTCGACATTTTTGTAAATTTGCGTGATGATAAACAACACAAACATTGTATTAAAATTTTGCAATCTTGTATTTTTCAAATTCAACAAATTTCTAATGTTTGGGTTGAGGTTTTGAATTTTTTTTAAATTTTTTTGTATGGGGAGTAGTGTCGTTCGTTCCTTCCCCTCACTTTTTTTTCGATTTCAGTCTTTTTAGTGGGGCTAGTGATTAAATATGAATTCCTGTGGCATTGTTTGGGGTTGAGGCCAGGAATGTCACGGATTATCTTAACTGAGTGGCTCTTTTCAACCCGAACTCCGAACCGACTTTTTTTCCTCAACCCATGACATTTACTGTCGAAACCTACGACAGTAGGTTTCCCTTCAGAAAAGGTTTGACTTTAGATGATTTAAAAAAAGGAGGGAATGACAGACACTATTTTGCCTTTCGTTTAAAATATTTTCAAAGAAAAAAAAATTTTTTTAAAGGTAATGCCAAAATTTGTTCTAGCCCAATCTGTTGGTGCAATTGTATCTCATTTGTTGGCTATTCTTTCTGATTTTATTTTGAGTAAAGAAGATATTGCTTTAATAGATGCAGAAATTATATCTGATTTACTTGAGTCTTTAATTGATGAATGCAAAAAGATTTTGATGGTTTGTTTAGAATTTTTTTTTAATTTTTTTTTAATTTGAGTACTTTCTTTTAAGTAAAATCCTCCAGTCTAACCATTTATTTAGTCCAGAAAAATTTTGACATTGTCTTTTTTTTCATAGGTAAGATTGGACCTAACATTCGAACTTTTTTTTTAATTCGCTTGACCGTTGGGTGATAAACTACTTGAACATTATCCCTTTTAAGATACACACCTTATTATATATTGATAAGATTTTCACCTCCAAATTTTGTTGAACTATGTACTTTTACCAGGCGATTAGGTAGTTTTCTAAAAAATTTTTGGGGAATGGGGGACTGTAATAGGGGGATTACCTCCTCCTTGATTTATTTCAAGTTTTTATAAGCGGATGTGTTTTTATTTATTCTTTTAAGATAAAATTTTGTTCTCCTTTACCCTTTTTATTGATTTATTTTTTTAAAGATTTTTATCTTTTTTTTTAAATTATTTTATTTATTCAGATTGACGATAAACCAATGATTCAAAAAGTTTGTGAAGAGAGTTATTATATGCTTATTGAAATTATATTTTGTTTGAAGAGTAATTTATCGGTTAATTTTTTTATTTTTTAATTTCGAAAAAGAAAAAAATTTTAATTTTAAAGGAAATTGGACATCGTTGGTGTCAAGGAAAAGGACCGCTAGCAAATTGGTTAACTCCACACCAAGTGAAACAATTAATTCGAGCTTTATTCCAAAATACCGAGAAACGGGCGCAGCTTTTGACGCAGATTAATTAAATTTTGTTTGAAATATGTGTCTATACCGTGATTGTTTTAATTAAACCCTGTGGGCTTTAATTTTTCAATAAGTTTCTTTCATTAGGTTTTTATTAGAGAGGGTTATTGGGCTTCTATTGGAAAGTGGGTTTATTTTTCAATAGTTCTGTGCTTCTATTAGAGAGAGGGGACGTTCATTTTTCAATGGCATTTTTGGTTGGGTTTCTATTAGAGAGGGTTTTTACTGGGCCTCTATTAGAGAGAGGGGAGTAGGCTTCTATTAGAGAGGAGTAGGCTTCTATTAGAGGGTTTTTACTGACTTCTATCAAGAGAGGTGGGCTTCTATTAGAGAGGGTTTTTACTGGGCTTCTATTAGAGAGAGGGGGCGTTCATTTTTCAATGGCCTTTTTGTTTGAGCTTCTATTAGAGAGTGGTGTTATTTTCGATTGGGCATCCCTGGGTTACTTGTATAAATATGGGCGTTTAATAGGAGGGGGCTTTAATTAGAGCACTTACGGTATGTTTATAATTTATTTTATTTATTTTAACAGTCGAGTCTTGTGGTGAGATTTGACTGTTTTATTTGATTATGGCCTTAAAATCTCATTTAATTAAATAAATATTAAAAATTTATTTTTTTAACAATTTTTAAAGGATTTTTGAAACCTTTTTTAATTTAAAAAAAAATTTTTTTTAATTTTTTAGACACTTTTTTTGCTTCAGAAAATTTTTTTTCCCAGCAAATTTTAATTCAATTTTAACCTTTATTCTTTTCAAAAAATGCATGTTCAAGGAGGAGAAAATGTTAATACTTTTGACATTCGAATTTTCTTTTCCAATGGTGCAGGTTTGTTTTTCTTTTTTTTTTTAAGTTTGAGAGTTTTGTTTGAAATTTTTTAGTGATCCAAGGAAAGGGTTATTTTGAATTTTTGTTAGGGTTATCTGTTTAAAGGGAAGGGTTAACTTATTAGGGCGCCAATTTCCACTCTACTCGTAAAATCACATTTTCTTCCATTCCCGTTTTCATGGGAACGACTTTTTTTGGGTTTAGTAAAGCCATGAGCTTTAATTTTTTAATATGTCACTTTTACTGGGCTTCTATTAGAGAGCTTTGGGCTTCTCAGCTATCTTTGTACCAGTACCCATTGGGGTTTGTCGATTATGATTTTTGGGTGACATCCCAATGTAGCTTCTTTCTCCGGTTTAAATTTACGTCTTCTCTGGAGTCTTTGAATTAATTTTATAAAAAGATCCAAATAGAGAATTCCCCAAAATTTAATTGAAAAAAATTTTTTTTAGCTGTCCAAGCTGTTTTTGAAAAAAATTCTACAGCAAATGATTTGATCCATTTAATGATTAAACACTTGGAAATTGACGATATTAGTGATGGGGAAGAAGCTTTGGCTATTTGGCTTGTTTCTCCTCTTTTAGGTTTGTATTTTTTTAATGGGTGGGAATGGCAACACCGATCATTATTTTGGTTGAGATTTGAAAAAAGTTGGGAGTTGACAAAGGGAGAAATGGTGAATTGACGAACAAGTATCTCTATTTTTCTGGGCACCATTTTTTCTTTGTTTTGTGTATATACTTTCTCCCTGACAAATAAGTGATCCTAGTAAAGTCCTCCCTAACTAATCCGTACCTATGTTTTGGTTGGGGATCGAGTGTTTATGGCTTCTCTGATAATTGGCGCTAATGTGGTCTCAAGCGGTTCACCGGCGATACTCGAAGTCAGCGCCTCATTAGTTCCGGTCAAAATTTTTAACAAAAAGAGAATGAACGGAAAATGGGGGAAAGGGAGATTGACCAACATAACCAATATTTTTCTTTTTAGAAATTCAACTTAAACCCTGTCAAATTCTCTACAAAATTTACCAAAAATGGCCAGCATTTTTGACTCGTTTTACAAACGCTGAAGACCATGAAATTTTACTTGACGAACCTTTAATAGTTTTGAGAAGAAATGTTTTGTTGACTTTGGACAGAGAAATACAGGTTTTTTTGTTTTGATTTTTTACATTCTTAAAAAGTCCGCAAATTTTATCCGCAAGTTTTTATTAAAAATTTTGTTTTTTTCTTAAGTGTTTTTTGAAAAAAATTATTTTCTATTGGGATTTTATGGGGTTTTAAGGACCTCATTTTACTCTTACATCTCTGGAGCGTGAACAAAATTTAGGTAATTAGAAATAGGGTATCCATTATTATCAAATTTTGGGACTTTGGAGGACCATATCTTAGCCATATCAAAAAACGGGCAAAAACGGCACAAAATTCTTGCTAGAAAGGGCGCATTCTTTATCGAATGAGCCAGGTTTCGAAACTGTTTTTAGGTCGGACACCTCGCAACCTCTTCGTGTCAGTTATCTCCTTTCCTAGCAATGCTTAACCAAATTTAAAAGATGTACCTTAATTTGAGTTGGCTTTTTTTGTTAAACTATTTTGATTTTACGCTTCCAAAATACTCCACTAGATTTTTCTTCTCCTTTAGAATTTTATTTTATCATTTTTGTTAACATAAATTTTTGCGGACAAAACTTGCGGACTTTTTGAAAAAATAAAAAAAAATTATTTTTCAATTAAAAAAATTTTTTAAATTGTTTTTTGCTAAAAAATTGATTTTATGCTTCCAAGATATTCCATAGATTTTTCTTCTCCTTCAGAATTTTATTTTAACATTTTTTGTTAAAATAAATTTTTGCGGACAAAACTTGCGGACTTTTTGAAAAAAAAATAAAAAAATTATTTTTAAATTAAAAAAATTTTTTATTTTCAAAGTTAACAACAAAATATGAAAAATTAGCCCAAGTTTTATATTTTGATGCTAGAGACAAATATTTGTGTGGAAAATATTCTGTGGACATTGAATCTTCTTTAGAATTGGTTGGACTTCAATTGGCTATTGAATTTGGGCCTTGTAATGGAAATTATAATAAAATGATTGACTTGATTTAGTTTGTTGATTTTTTGGTTATTAAAAAATTTATTTTTTTTTATTAAAAATTTTTAGAAATTTTTTGGAATTTTTCAAGAAATTTTTTGAGGGTGAAAAAACTTTTTTTTTGCCCTTTGCCTAGTTTAGGAAGGAACGTTTAAAAAACTCCTTTTTATTTAAGGCAAAAATAAACTATGTCACTCAATAGCACCGTGGCGCAGTGGAAGCGTGCTGGGCCCATAACCCAGAGGTCGATGGATCGAAACCATCCGGTGCTATAAGTTTTTTTCTTTGGCTAAAATAAATTCTAAAACAACTTTGAATGATTTTTAAAAAATTTTTGAGGTTGAAAAAAATTTTTTTAGGGGTTATAAAATTTTTAAAAAAATTTTTAAGTCAAAAAAAATTTTTTTTCAGTGACCATTTAAATGAATTAGCCCCTACTTCACATACAAAATTAATAAAAAGTTTTCGTTTATTTGGACTTTCTTTGATGGAATGTAGAAAAGGATTGGAAAATCAAGTTTATGATGAATATAGAGTTGCTTCTACACATTTTCATAATAATCATGCAAGATATGTTCAATTTTTGAAGATTGTGGGGAGTTCTCCAAGGTTTTTTTTTGAAAGTTTTTTTTGCAATTTTTAAGGGAATTTTTAAAAGGGGATTTTTAAGTGTTTTAAGTTCAAAAAAAAGTTAAAATTTATTTAAATAAAAAAATTAAAAATAAAAAAAAATTAAATTTTTTTGGATTTTCTACTAGTATTTTTGTAAATTAATAAAATATTTAGAGTTGTAGGTCAGGAATGGGGCATTTTTGGAAAAAAAGCCTGGCCATATTTAATATTGGTTTTTTCTAGATTTTTCTTTTAAATGGGTCTCGGGTCGACTAAAAATATGGGGTTCGGTTATCTTAACCCGTCCCTCTTGTAAATGAACAGAAATTCTATTTTTTTATTTTTGCGGACAATTTTTGCGGACTTTTCCGATTTCCTTTTAGGTTTTATTTAAATGTAAACAGATAAAAATATAATAGAAAATAGAGACGACTCCGCAAATAATGTCTGAACTTATTATTTTTAATAGAAAATGTCCGCAAAAAATTTGTCCGGAAATTTTGTCCGCAAAAATATTTGTCCGCAAAAATTGTCCGCAAATTAATTTTTTTTAAATTTTTAGTGTGCATCTTCAACAAGAAATAAATTCAAATTTGGCCAATAAATTTAAAGAAAATTCTTCCTGTATATTTTCTTATCTAAATTGGAAGAAAACAATAATGGACTCTTGTGGTAATTCAAGTAATGGAAGTAGTTGTAGTGGTGGTGGTGGGGGTAGAAGTAATAAAAAATAAAAGTTTTTTTTTCATTTATTTTTTCTGTCCTTTTTTCGTGTTTGTGTTTTAACCGGAATTTTTTATTTTTATTTTTCTTCTCTCAAATTTTTTTTTAATTTTTCCCTCTCTCGCCCCAAAATTCTTTATTTCCCTCTCTCGCCATAAATTTATTGATAAAAATTGGTCTGATATTTTTTATTTTTTTAATCGAATAATTATTATTTGTTTTAATACATTAAATTTTTTTAAAAATTTTTTCCTTCATTTTAAATATTAAGGAGTGTCGTTACAATTTTTGCGGATGTTTTTCCTTTTTTTTTTCGCACATTTTCCGGGTTGGTTTTATTTTCCCGTGGGTAGTCAATTAATCAAAAACGAGTCTAATTTAACGCTTAAATATTTTTTCATTATTTATTATTTACAAGCTGGAATTTAAAAACTAAAAGGAACGGAAGAAACAATGTCTGCAAGAAGAAAATGTCCGAAAAAAGTCTGCAAAAGTCCGCAAAAAGTATCCGCAATAATTGTAACCCTCCGTTTTTACATGTGTTTTAATCGCCACATTTTTTTTTTAATTTTTTGTAAATTTCAGCAATTTTTAAAAATTTTATTCCAAACTTTATGAATTGTGAAAAAATTACTTATCAAGTGGATCCATCCAATGTTGAGGAAAATAAGCGTGTATTTATTCTTGGAATTGGAAATCCTCTTTTAGGTTTTTTAAATTTTTTTTTAAATTTTTAAAAATAAAAAATAAATATTTTAGATAAACAATTGGAGACAGTCGACACTAAATTACACGAAAAATATAATTTGAAGACTGACTCGGCGTCGTTGGTATTTCCGTGGAATGAACAGCAATTGCTTCCTTTGTATTTTTTTTAATTTTTTATAAGTTGAAAGGGATAGGAGAAAATTTTTTAAGAGTTGATTTTACAGGGCTAGGATAAATTCCTTCCAAAAATATAAGAAAATGGAGGAGAAAAGTCCGCAAAAAATGTCCGCAAATAAAGTCCGCAAAGCAAAATAGGCAGGAAAAAAGTCCGCAAAAATTCAAGGAATTTCAAGGAAATTTTGCGATAAAAACAGGAGTCGAGCCTACGGCTTCTTGACCCTTTGACTGAATTTGTGACTTCTCTGTCGTTTTTACCTGAAAAGAAGTTGGTGTCTCTTATGGATATTAGGAATAGGTCGGGTTGAGAAAAGAATTTTGTGGTGGAAGAATCGGATTCGAAAATTTTCTTTTTCGGATTTCGACTGGAAATAAAAATCAGGGATTCGTGTAACCTTAGCCTATTCATGAGGGAAACCCTAAACCTCTAAATTCCTCCAATTTTTTAGATTTGCCGATTTGGATGAGCTTAAAGATTCAATAAAATCCATTCCTGGAGGTTCAGCACAAAATACATTACGTGTCTTTCAATGGGTTTTGGGAGCGATTGGTGGCCCTGTGAGTTTCGAAATAAAATTTTTTGAAAAAATTCAAAAAAAATTTAAAAAATTTTTGAAAATTTTTTCGAAAATTTTTCAAAAAAATTTTTAAAATTTTTTTTTTAATTTTTGAAAAAATTTTTGAAATTAAAAAAAAATTATTTTTTTAAAAAGACAAAAAAAGCCGTTGCCTATTTTGGCGCTGTAGGGGATGACAACAACGCCGAACATTTAAAATGGTTGGCAACAAAAGCTGGTTTAGTTGTTCGGTATCAATTAATACCTAAACAAAAGACGGGGGTTTGTGCTGTTTTGGTTTATGGAACTGACAGGTTTTTTTTGAAAAAAAATTTTTTGAGAAAAAAATTTTTTTTTGAAAAATTTTGAAAAAATTTTGAATTTTTTTGGAAAATTTTGAAAATTTTTTTTGAAAAATTTTTCAAAAATTTTTTTTTATTTTTTATTTTAAAAATTAAAAAATTATTTTTTAGATGTCTGGTTGCTCATTTAGGCGCGGCAGAAAAATTCACTTCTAAACATTTGGACATTCCGGAAAACAAATTGCTTATAGAAAAGGCAGAGAATTATTATGCGGAAGTATGGGGTTTATTTAATCTAAAAATAGAATCAGAATTTTATTTGAACAAGTTGTAATTCGTTTTTAAAAAATTCTGATATTTAAAAAACATTGCATGTGTTAAATTCAGAATTTCATTTAAACATCAGAATTTGTTTTAGAAGAATTCTGATATTTGACGAACACGTTATTAAATAAAACAAGAATTTTATCTGAACATGTTAAAAGTTGTTCTAAAAAGTCAGAATTTTTTCTAAACATGCGGGCTTTTTTTAAAATCAGAATTTTATTTGAACATGTCAGAATTTGTTTTTAATAAAATTCTGATATATTAAAAAAATATTCTGATATTAAATAAAATTAATGCTACAAAATCAGAATTTTTACAAATATTTTTTCAGGGCTATTTCCTCACAGTCTGTCCAGAAGCAATTTTACAAATAGCTAAACACGCAGCAGAGAAAAACAAACCTTTTACTATGAGTTTAAGTGCTGCTTATATTTGTAAAGATTTTTTACCTCAACTTAATTCCGTGTTACCTTATGTTGATGTACTTTTTGGTAATGAAGAAGAAGCTAATGCTTATGCAGAAGCTAATAATTTTAAAGAAAATGATTTGAAGGAAATTGTGAAGAAAATTGCTAATTATAAAAAGGTATTGTTTGTTTTTCTGATTTTTTAACTGTTTTGTATTTGTTGAAATTGGTGGGGGTGTTGAATGTTTTGACAAAATTCTGATTTTGTTTGTTTATGTTTGTAGGGTTTTATTTAATTTAAGAAATCAGAATTTTGTCTAAACAAGTTAGAATTTGTTTTTAAAAAATTCTGATATTCGAAAAACATTTCTGTTATTGAATAAAAATCAGAATTTTATCTGAACATGTTGGAAGTTGTTTTTAAAAATCAGAATTTCTTATGAACAAAAATTAGAATTTTATCTAAACAACTTTAAAGATTAACAATGTTTTGAGAATATTCTAATTTTTGAGTAAATGTTTTGTTTATGTTCTGTTCGTTTTTATTTTAAAGATAAACACTCTTCGTTCCCGCCTTGTTGTTATAACACGTGGAGAGAAGTCTATATTTGTTGCAATTGGTAGTGGAGAGTTTCAAACATTTCCAGTGGATACAATAGAGAGGAATTTAATTAAAGATACAAACGGGGCTGGAGATGCTTTTTCTGGGGGTTGGTTTTTGGGGTTTTTCTGATTCAAAATAATTTTTATTTTTCAGGCTTTCTGGCTGCCTTGGCAAGTGGGCGTCCCTTAGAAAAATGCATTAAATCAGGCAATTTTGCTGCACGTACAATTATTCAAAATGTGGGTTGTACTTTTCCTGATAATTGTGATTATAAAGAAGAGTAAGGTGAATTAAAAAAGAGAGGGTTTTTAATTTTAAGTTGAATTTTTTTCTATTTCTCGGTCTGTTGCCTTGCCCCTCCTGTTTATTTATGGTTATTTAATTCTTCCTCAACCAAAATATTTTATTATTTTTTAAATTTAAAATTTCAGTATTATATTTTTTTTAATTTTAATTTTAAAAACCAAAAAAATTTTTTTTCCGGAAACACCAAAAATTTTCTTCTTGAAAATACCTAAAATATTATTCTAAACAACGCTATTCCTTGCCTTCTAAAATTTTTGTGATTTTTTTTATTTTTGAATAATATTTAATATGAGAGATTGTTATTTTAAGTAAATTTTCTTATATAAATATTTTTTATTAAATTAGTTTTCTTTAAATTTAGATATAACGGACATTTGCGGACACTATTTTTGTGTCCGCAAAAACATTATTTAATTCTGGTTTTGTGATGATAAAATTCTGATGTTTTGATTAAATTCTGATTGTGTTTTACTGTGTTTATGTTTTGTTTTAAAAATATTCTGGTTATGTTTTGTTTGGAATCTGATTTATTTGAACACATTGTTTTATTTTAATTCTGGTTGTGTTTTAATAATATTCTGATTTTGTTACAATGTTTTGATAATTTTCTGATTATGTTTTATGTTTAAATAATATTCTGATTTTGTTTTACTCCTGCTTAGTTTTATAATGTGCAATGTTTTGATAAAATTCTGATTGTGTTTGACATAGTGTTTTGAATAATAAATTCTGTTTAGATGAAAATTCTGATTACCTATGTTTTTGTTTGTTTGTTTGAAATATGTTTTGTTGGGATATTTTTTGTGTTTGTTTTTAGTTCTGAATTTCTGTTTTTATTTAGAGTTCTTTTAGAATAAATTAGAAATAATAAAATAAAAAAAAATAAAAAAAATTTTAGAAAAAACAAAATTAGAAAATTTCTTTCCACAACCATTAGGAATACATTCTTTAGGTAAATTTGATTCCCATTTTATTTTTAACATTTTTGCCATAGTTTCACGGCTACTATCAAATAAATTTTCTATTATCTTAAAAAAATAAAAATTAAAAAATTTCTATTTAAAACCCTTTGAGAAACAGCCCCACAATATTTGCCGTATTTATTAACGAAACAAACAGATAAATGCCTTAAATGTTCGCAAATGAGAGAAACAAGTATAACGCTAACATTGTGTGTTAAACGTTCTGTGCTGTGGTGGAGTTGTCTGTTTAATACTTATATTAAAACAATGTTTTTAATTTATTCTGATTTTTAATTTTTTTCTGATTTGTTTTGATTAAATTCTGATTTTTTCTGACTTGTTGTGATTAAATTCTGTTTTTTGTATTGTTTGTTGGGATTAAATTCTGATGTTTTCTGCTTGTTCAAATTAAATTCTGATTTTTTCCAAATTGTTTAAATCAAATTCTGATTATTTTTCTGATTTGTTTAGATTTAATTCTGATTTTTTTCAAATTGTTTAGATCAAATTCTGGTCTTTTTTCAATGTTTTTATTAAATTCTGATGTTTTCTACTTGTTCGAATTAAATTCTGATTTTTTTCTGATTTGTTTTGATTAAATTCTGATTTTTTTAAATTTGTTTTATTCAAACTCTGACTTTTTCTCTTTTCAAAACTTACTGGCTTTCGAACTCACACTCTTGTGTAATTACTTCAATGTTTCTTTTCCAACAACCTATTTGTGTTTCCAACACTGCAAAAATTCAGAATTTGTTTTCTCAACTAAGAAAAATTGATTTTACCCCTTAAATTGTTACAAATTCCTTCCCAAGGTTTAACGCCCATTTGAAGAATTTCATTTTCATTGGATTCTGGGCATTTTTGTAAACAATTAAACATTTCCATATTTTGCCTAATTAATTTAAATTTAATTATTTAATTTTTTAAAATACTCGCAAATTGATTTGACTCGTTTTATAATATATTCGCGACTGTCGTCGGATCGTAACATTCCAGCTAATGGAAATACAAAATCGGAGGACCATTCACTATCCATCTTAATAAGAGAGAAACAATGTTGTAATTAAATTCTGATTCTGGTCTTGCCAATTAAGCACTTGTTTTAATTAAATTCTGATCTTTCGATTGACATGTTTTAATTTAATTCTGGTCTTACCAATTATTAACTTGTTTTTATTAAATTCTGGTTTTACAGCTATGCTTTCAGTATGTTTTTTCTAGATTCTTATTTTGTTTTTATAAAATTCTGATTTTTATAAAAATTCAAAAAATTCAAAAAATGTTTTTTCTAGATTCTGATTTTGTTTTTATAAAATTCTGATTTATTTTCTTTTTATTCCTTTTTTACCCTATTTTCTTTATACCGTTAACATATGGTTGTCTTTACAGCGTAGGAGACAAAGTGGCACAATTGGCAATAAATTAGCTGCCCCACTAGTTAAATTTACTGCGAAAATGAGTTGAAATATTGTAATAATAATGGCAAATAAAATAAATATTTTTAAAATTGACATAAAAATTCAAAAAACCTAAAAAATGTTGCAAAATGATAGGGTGTAGTGAACGTTTTGGACTATAACTTTTTTGATTCTTAACCGATTTAAATAAATATTTTATCAATCGAAAGCTCTTGATGAGAGGATTATTTTAGCTAACAGGATTGATTTGATCCGATCATCCTACTAAAAGTTACAGCTAAATAAGTATTAAAAATCACGATTGCGCGCACTTATTAGGCTATAACTCTATGTAGGATGATCGGACCAAATTGATCCTGCTAGCAAAAATAATCTACACATCCAGAGCTTTCGATTGCTATAAAAATTATTCAAATCGGTTAATAATCAAAAAAGTTATGGCCCAAAATATGGCCTTGAGAATGAAGGGATTTTACCAGAACTTAGGTAATATGATTAAAAATATTTTTAAAAAATTAAATATTTGGAGGGGATAAAGTAGGATATATATACAACTAAATAAAGTAAAGAAAGGATATTTTTGGACAAATGTGAGTAAGAAAAAAATAAATGCTAAAAAAATATTATAAGCTTTCGAGGAAGGTTGGTTGCTTCTTTTCTTTCAGAGAGATTTTCCGCTTTTGAGTAAAAAATAATTTTATTATTATTTATATAAAATTATGTAATATTATTATGTATAGTGTAGGGCGGAAGGAAGATGTTTTCTGTTTTAATTTAAATCTTTTTTTTTTATTTGCTCTATTCCATTAGAAAATACCTAATTAAATAAGACAAAATCTTGTTGTTTAGATTTAATTCTGATTTTGTTTTATTAATTTCTGATGTTTTATTTTAATTTCTGAGCATGTTTTGTTTAAATTCTGATGATGTTTTGATTAAATTCTGATGTTGTTTCATTTAATTTAAGAGCATGTTTTGATTAAATTCTGAAAATGTTTTGTTTAAATTCTGATTTTGTTTCATTTAATTTCTGAGCATGTTTTGATTAAATTCTGATTTTGGCTTTATTAAAGTTAGACATGTTTATATTAGATTCTGATTTTGTTTCATATTAAATTTTGTTTGTTTCTATTAATTTCTGATTTTGTTTTCATTAATTTCTGATTTTGTTTTGTTTAGATTCTGAATTTGTTTTGTTTAAATTCTGATTGTTTTTATTAAATTCTGATTTTGTTTTTCTATCACTAATTATAGAGAAAAAGAATTAGTTTAAATAAAACGCTTCTATTCGGATTTTCATGCGTTGGCTCAGTGGTCTAGTGGTATGATTCTCGCTTTGGGTGCGAGAGGTCCCGGTTTCGATCACCGGCTGAGCCCATTATTTTTGATTTTATTTTAAATTATTTTTGAATGTTTTTAATTGAGTTTAAAATTAATCTAAGCATATTTTTGAATTTTTTTAGGCAATAAAAAGAAGAAAAAATCATAATTTGTAATAATTCTGAACTAAATTCTGATTATTGGCGAAAAAACAAGCTTCTACTTTGGGTAAATTACCTATAAATTTTAGGCAAATTATAAACTTTTTTATTTTCCTCATTTTTTTCTTTTTTCCTCTATTTTGCACCAATTTTTGCACCTATAAACGGATATCCTCCTTTATTTTTATTTAATACCCTTTTTAAAAAAATAATTTTAAATAAAAGGAAATTCAGGTATTTGTTAAAGAAAATGAATATGTAAAATTTAAAAATAGACTATTTTCTTAATAAAAAAATGAAAAATTATCGAAAAAATTCCAAAAATATTTTTAAATTAATTTTTAAATAAATTAGATTGTCTTAAAAATAATTTAAAATAAAATCAAAAATAATGGGCTCAGCCGGTGATCGAAACCGGGACCTCTCGCACCCAAAGCGAGAATCATACCACTAGACCACTGAGCCGACATTAAATATTTTTAACAGAAGCCTTTTATTTTGTTGCATTTTAACGAATAAGCAGAAATAAAATAAACGTGTTTTAACTAGCTAATAAAGCTTATTTGATTTTTTCAACGCAGTCAAACACGTTTTTGATGTCGGCTCAGTGGTCTAGTGGTATGATTCTCGCTTTGGGTGCGAGAGGTCCCGGTTTCGATCACCGGCTGAGCCCATTATTTTTGATTTTATTTGAATTATTTTTTTGGCAAATAGAATTTTTACAGTCAAATCCTATAATCAGGTTTGACTGTAATTAAGAAAAAATCACAATTTTGAATGTCTTAATTTTGGATATTTTTGAATATGTTGACTGAGAATGAAGAAAAGTTGAGATGGCTAGAAGCTGATTGAAGATGAAAGAAGCTCTACAATTTTTTACATTTACCTCCAAATAAAACGAGTCATATACCATTTTAAAGCTTATACTCTTAGGAATTTTATCCTGGAAATAAATTTTAAATTTAAAAATATTTTGAAAAGTTATGACGGAAAAAGTGGTTAATTTTTGGGGGTTTCAAGTGTACTCGAAACTTTTGGCTACAACATTTTCGGGTTATGTCTAGTGAAAATACTCGTGTTGACAAAAATATAGAGCAGAATCTTGGCTTTTAAATAAAATAAAATTTGTCAAATTTGGTTGAGTTTAAAAAAAGATATTTTTTAAAGATGCTTTACTGTGCAACACAGAGACCGTCTTGTATTAATTAATAAAAAATAAAAAAATATTTTTTTCAAAAAAAATTTTTTTATTTTCAATTTTTCTGTGTTCCTTCTACTTGTTAATAAAACAAAAATTAAATTTAAAAAATTTTATACACATAAATTTTAAAATTAAAAAATTAAATTTTAATAAAAAACCCCTCAAAGACAAGCAAAAACAACTTGTTTTATATTAGAAATAAAAGAAGGCTACAGTGTCGGCTCAGTGGTCTAGTGGTATGATTCTCGCTTCGGGTGCGAGAGGTCCCGGTTTCGATCACCGGCTGAGCCCTTCATTTTTGATTTTATTTTAAATTATTTTTAAGGGTTCTAAATTTATTTTAAAATTAATTTAAAAATATTTTTGAATTTTTTTTGAATTTTTTGGTGGAAATAAAGGGGAAAAAAGGTCAATAAAAAATTTTATTGGAACGGTTTCGCTTTTAAAACAATAAAGAAAAGAGAGGAATTCGACCTGCTTTAATGACCCTCCCATAATTAATAGTTCATCAATAATAATAAAAATAAAATTTTGGCTTGTATGAGCAGCAAGGTTAAACAAACATTTATTTTAGTTTACTTTTAGGAAAATAAAATTAGTGAAATTGATAATATTTTTTATTTTTATGGGGGGAATGACGTGTTTTCTATAAAGAAACCTTCCATAAAAAAATTTTTTTAAAAACTGGATTGCCCCCAGACTTTCTGAAGAACACCCATTAGAATTAGGGTTGCCGTTTTTGAACCGGGCTGAAGTTCGAGTTATTTGTTTCGGGCTTCATTCTTATCGAATCGGGCCGTTCGAGTCTTCTTCGGGCCAAAAATCGAAGCCCGATTCGATCTTCAAACAGCAACCCTAATTAGAATGTATTCCCTAGGAATGGTCTGTCGTGAAAATAAAATGGTCTTCTCTCCAGTTATCTGTTCTATCTCACTCCCAAGTAGAACATCCTTTGAATAATAAACTAAGCAAGTATGGAACAGGGGTTAAGAAAAAAGTCGGGGTTGGGTCAGGTTTATGATTTTTTTGAGCCGCGTATCGTGTTTCAAGTAATCCAACTCATCCCTGATTTCTTGAATTCTGAAAGGATTGAAAAAAATTAAATTAAAAATAGGATTAACTAACGATTATTTTAGGTCTAAATATTTTGAGAAATACAATTATTTTTTCAATTTCAAAAAGGGTCAATGAAAGATAAAAACAAACAAAAATTATTTTTATTATTATTTCCTTTTTATCTATTATTAGTCATAATTATTGTGATAAATGGAATGCCTGTTGTGAGTTCTTTTTATTAAATTTTGGAGTTTAAAGTTTGTGGTAGGAGAGAAATGTTTCTAGTTTATGTCTTGACTTACCCACCAGGATTTTTCTGAGAGGTTAAAATAATCCGGAAACAATTTCCGGAGAGAATATATCTCAAAACAACTTTAGAAACATTACTATAGGTCCCGGAACAAAATAAAGTTTTTCCGGAAAAATTATTACTATAAACATTCCGGAAATAGGACATTTGTTTATTTAAATAAACATTCAGGAAAAACAATTCCGGAAAAATATAAATTTCCGGAAAACAAAATATAAATAATTCCGGAAAATAAAAAATTCCGGAAACAAAATATAAATACCTAATTCCGGAAAATATAAATTTCCGGAAACAAATGAATAAATAAACAATTCCGGAAAATATAGATTTCCGGAAAAATCAGATATAAGTAAATGATTCCGGAAAAATATAAATTTTCGGAAAACACAAATAAATATGTAATAATTCCGGAAAATATAATTTCCGGAAACATGAATAAATAAATAATTCCGGAAAAATATAAATTTCCGGAAAACACAAATAAATATGTTAATATTTCCGGGAAAACATTTTTATATTTCCTAGAAACAAATAAACAAAGCGGTTTGGACAATCCCAGTACAAACAAATATAACACTGTGTAGCCCAACAAACAACAAAACATTTGTAATTCCATCAACTACTAAAATTTCCTCAAAAATTGAAAAGAAAGAAAACAAGCCAAAGGAAAAGGACAATTTTGAAGATATGAAAAAGATGATTTGGATGGAAAAAAGTTGGAAGCAAGTGCCTGTTGGAAATGATAAACCCGAAGCGCCTGAAGAAAAAGAATTACCAAGATGCCCAAAATTTATTCCTTCCCTTTTTATGCGTTAAATTGTAGTGTGTGATATGTTTAGAAGGAATTAGAAATATGCATGGATAAATATATTTCCGGAAGAAACTTTTTGTTAAAACAAGTTGGGGAATAGAAATGAATTAAAACATGTTTAGAGAAACAAATTCCGGAAACAAACATTCCACAAACATAGTTGTTGAGTGTTTTAATAAAAAGGAAAATAAATACACGAACATATTTCGGAAACTTAAGTTTCCGGAAAATTATTTCCAACTAAACATCTATAGTGAAACTTAAGTTTCCGGAAAACATTATAATAAAAACAAAACAAAATAATAAAAACAAACAACAAAAAATTTTCCGGAAACCTAAATACGGAAACTTAAGTCCGGAAACATAAAGTATTTCCAACAAAACATCAGAAACATTATTTAAAACAGTTATGGGAAGGAACATGTTTTAGACGAACATTTCCGGAATAAGGTTCGAACATATCCTAGAAACAAACATTTCTTGAAAACAACCCGGAAACATTTTATCTCAAAACATTTACAAAAACATGTTTCAAAACATCATATATTAATAGTTTGCAAAGCATCATAATGAAAACTTAAGTTTCCAGAAAGAATATTTTCGCAAAACATCAGAAACAATATTATAAACATTTTCCGGAAACAAACAGTTCCGGGAAGAAACATTTATAAACACAATCCGGAAACATTTAATTCTAAAAACATTGACACAAACATCATTCAAAACATCTTAGATTAATAAACATTTTCTCAAAACATTTTTTCAAAACATTTCTCAAAACATGTTCGTCATTTTTATTTATTTTTAACACGAACACCAAATAAATACAAACAACAAATAACAAAATATACAAAACATTCTTATCAGTTAGAGTAATTTGTGTCTATTTATAATCTATTTTTAATTTAAATAGGGTAAATATATAAATAATATTTTTCAAAAAACATTCAATTATTTAATTCTTAAAAATTTATTTCCTTCTTTAAATGTCCCAACAAAACTTTCGTGCCGTACTTTTTGATGTTGGAGGGGTTATAGTTGAGTATAAAGACAGGGAAAAATATGTAAAGACTTTAAAAATGGGTAAGTTAAAGAAAATTAATTTTTAAAATTTTTTTAAAATTGAAATTTAGTCGAAGAGTCACCCGAACTTTTCAAATTTTTGGAGGAATTTGAACGCGGCTTAATTACTCCTGCAGATGTTAAACCTGAATATTTGTCTCTTATAGGCCTTGTTCGATTTAATAAATATTTAAAAATAATTTTTGTTTAATTTAGGATCCAAGAGTTGAGTTAAAGGATTCGTTAGTTGTTAAGGGCGTGGGAGAAAAGGTAAACATTAATAAATAGCAAAACATAATAGAAACAAACTTGAAACATTAAAACATTCCGGAAAGTGTAATAAACAATGTTTAGAACAAAAGAAAAAAATACTGTTTTTCCGGAAAGAATATTTAAGAAACATTCCGGAAAATAAATAGACAAACAGTGGAAACTTAGAAACATTAAGAATATAAACACGCAATACAAACATTCAGGAACAATAATGTTGGAAACAAACAAACAAAATAAAGTTTTTCCGGAAATATTCCTATAAACATTCCGGAAACAAAAACATTTGTTTATTTAAATAAACATTACCAGAAAACCTAAAAACATGAAACATTCCGGAAAAACATGAAACATTCCGTAAACACAGAAAATACAAACAAATAAATTTAACTTTCAGGAAAACAAAAATAAATACATGTACTAAACTTTTCCGGAAAAATATACATGTTTATTAAAACATTTTTAGAATCCATTTGTTGAGCGTGCAATAGAAACAATTTACAATTCAGGCAATTTTACACTAGGAATATTAACAAACAATGGGTTTTGGCGTAAAGAACAAACAACTTTTATTATTGAACCCGACCCCAGATTTAATTTTGTCATAGAATCTTGCCGTGTTGGGCACAGAAAACCTGATGCTTCTTTCTTTGAGGTGTATTTAGTTAATTAAAAAATTAATTTTGGGGTTTTAAGATTGCTTTGAAACAAATGAATCTGTTAGCTAGTGAATGTGTATTTATTGATGATTTGGAGAAAAATTGTTTAGGAGCTGAAGCTGTTGGAATGACAAGCATTTGGGTAAGAAATGTGAATTAAAACATGTTTTGATTAAAGTTGTTTTGATAAAAATTATAGAGAAAACATTAGGGAAACAAACACGAAAACATTCTAAATGTTTTGATGTTTGACTCAAAACATTTCGAAGAACAAAACATAAAGAAAAACATGTAATTAAACATGTTTTGATTAATAAATCATCCAAACAACTGTTTATTAAAAACATGTATGTTTGCCGAACATTGTTTATTAAAAACATGTTTGTTTGAATAAAAAATTGCCTCCACAAAAAGTTCGTCGAAACAACAAAGTGAACATTAAAATAAACATGTTTTAATTTAATAAAAACATTCGAACAAGCGTTACAAACATTAAAAACATTTCTAAAACATTTTCCGGAAAGTTAAATTTTCTCGAAACATTTCCGGAAAACAATTTTATCAAAACAAACATTATTTCTGAAAACTTGTTTTAATTTAATTTAACCATTCCGGAAATGTTTGGAAACATTCCGGAAAACAAACAATGTTCGGATGTTTTCATAAACATTAGAAACATTATATTATTTTATAAATTAGATTTAACAAAAACAATATATAAATGCGATAGTAATTTCCAGCTCAAATTGTGTATCGTATAAGTAGACATTTATTACTTTTGATTTCTAATAAAACAAAGTTTACTGTCGACATTCCGACACTTCAGTTGCACGACACTTCCGATTTTCGTGCTATTAAAAATTAATTTTGAATTTAGATGTTGAATTTAAAAAAGTCGGCCTCAGTTAAAAACGTATGCTATGCATGAGAGTCAGGATGAATGTTACTAGAATTTTAATTGCATCTTACCTTTCAGTTTGAAACATTTGGAATCATTTTTTGTCGTTCAAGTAATCCTCGACACCCACAAACATGAAATCTATTTCGTGAATCTCAATTCATTGTTTTTTTCCGCTAATTTAAAAATACACTGAAACTAAATTGAGTACACAAGGCTATCTTATGGCTCCGGGGCCGGCTCAAGCGGAGACGGAGCTGGAGCCAAGATTTTGAAACATTCCAATCGACTAATTTTAAACTTCCAATTTTTAAACTTCCAATCGACATTCCGACACTTCCGCTATCACACTTCCGATTTTCTGCACTCCCTATTTAATTTTACTTCCTCATTTACATCCGCTCTCTGCTATAGGGAAATTTATTTCCTTGTGAGGGAAATAAAGCGAGAGACTTAGCGGAAATTGTTCTATTGGATGCAGAAAGAAATACACGTCAATTTCATATAGAATTCATTGATTGTGGAGTCGTTACGACTCTTGTATTTATTGAATTCCTCCCATTTTCCCATTATATTTTCTCCTGCAAGATGCGTCGGAAGTCTTTAATAAGGAAGTAAATGGACGCGAGCTTGCAGGCAGCGAGGGCTTTATATGAGAGGCTTTAAACGACTTCAACACTCATTCCATCTTCTAACACAACCATAAACAAATCTACTAAAATCAACAAACACGAATATCATTCGGGGCTATAAAATCGGTTTCTTTATTATATTAAATAAACATTATAGTGAAATATTGTTTTTATTTATAGTTATTACAACATTTGTTTTTAAAAGCTCTAAAAACAATTGTTAAATATTCAAATATGAACATGTCAAATCTTGTTATTTTTCTTTTTTATATTTTTAATTTATTTAATTTAACTTTGTGTGCAAAAGGAGGTGAGAAATTCAAATTCCATTAAAACCTTATATTATTTAATAAAAATATTCTTTAAGTTGCATCAAATCCTCAACAAAATTTTCACCGACAAAGTATTTTTTAATTTATAAACCCAACTAATAATTATTAAATATAATTCTTAATTTTAATTAAATTAGATGCACCACGTAGTGTTGTGCATCCTTCAATAAGAGTGCCACCTTCTATCCCATGTAGGTATATAAATAAAATATAATAAACATTTTTTATTTAAAACTCCTACTCGTGAATCAAATTTACTTGGAAATTATGCAGAACAGGCTGAACCGGGTAAATCATCACCGTTTCATTGTCGTAAAAATGGTCTAAAAAATTTTTGTAACTGGAATTGTGGTAACCAAGAATTTTGAGCTTTGCTCACCAATTTTTTGAATATTGGTACCAGCGGACACAAAATTCCAGTGAACAAAATTCCGGTACCCCATTAAATTAGCACATAACAAACTTTAAATGTACAGGTAAATTAAGATAAACATCTTTTTATTTAAAGCTCCTCCTCATGAACAAGATTTACTTGGAAATTTTGTAGAACAGGCTGGACCAGGTAAATAATTTTCGTTTCATTGTCATAGAAGTTTCCTGTTATTGGAGACTTTGTAATAATTATTGTCCTATAATCCGCATAGTAAATTAGTCTCAATAATTGAGAAAATATTCGCTCAACATATGTAGTCTTCAATAGTCTTCAGTGATTCTCTCAAGTCTCAATATTCTCTAAAGTTCATTTATAACTAATGATATTTTTGAATATTTTTCAGCAAATCATCCCAAATCTTTTATTTTAAAGCCAAAAGTACCTAAAGGTATATTTGAATTAATATAATATAAATTATATTTTTATAACATTGTAAAGGTCAAAATCCTGATCATTTTGGCAATTTAGTTTCTCCTGTTGCAAATGTTCGTGGATATGCTACCTCAAGTAAACTTGAATATTTTATAATATCAAAACAAATTATTTATGTTTCTAAATATCAATCTAAAATTTTTAGATCTTCAACTTTGAAGAAGAATCGAAAATGAATGCTCCATTTAGCTTTCTCTTGATTTTGTGTTGG